CTTAGAAATCAGGACTAAATGATGTCTGTCATGGCTCTGATTGGCCAGCCAGTTGACCAGGTGAGGACTTAGAGTAATCCCTGATGATACCCAGAATGAAGTAGCAAGGCCATGACAGGTCCCTTGAAATCTCATCTATATTCTTTAGCCAGCAACAATTAAACTATTACAGTTTTTCATCTACTGATTTTTTCAGACTGTAAGTCTTTTTCTCAAGCTGTAAGGAAAAAAACCAAATACCTCAGGGAATGGAAAGGTATGCTTTTGTCTCTTCCTACAGAGGGGAAGTGCTGAAAAAGGCATAGATGCTTACACCTTACCACTGACTGCAATGCTGAACAAGTCAGCCATATAGCCTTCTCAATACCTGAATCACCTCCAAACTGGAAGTTTGTCAGCACAGCAACACGGTCTCTCAATGCATGATGGGGCAGTAACTACCAAAATGTTTGTGGTGCTGCTGTAATGCTAAGAACAGAGAGTGAGCAAGGATTTTTCAAGATGCTTGCAGTAAATTGGAAACTCAGGGAGGTTTGAGAGGAGGAAGTATTCACCTTCCCTGAGTTTCTTTGAAGACCCTCGTATGTGGATCACTCTGCTCCTTGCTTCTTTGTTTCATGTCCTGTGTTGATAGAGTTTTGGTGTGGTTTCAATCATGTCTAGTGTATCCCTCTTTTAATAAACTGTTTATTGGATAATACATGCAGAAATATTCTTTGCCAGGGAAGTTCAGAGACAGTGTCAGACATCTAGAACTCTTGCCATCCTGCTGCAAGGCACAAAAAGCCTGAGGGACAGCCCAAGTTCACTAATGAGCCTCTGTCTCTAATCTGAGAGATAGGCGTATGTTGTAGACACTGATGTTTCTCACCTTCATATGTGCTATTTCCAGACAGAGAAGTTGTTTTCTTTCCAGGTTCTCAGTCTAATAAAATAAACCAGACCATGTGGAGGGTGTTAAAAAGGAGAGTGAACGATGGTGTTTTAGAAGCTGTCTAATACTTTAAGCTCTGAGTGCAGGAGGACGGTGATGCTTTTAAAAAGATCCTTGGATGTAGAGTTGGGAATTATGTAATCTTGACAAGCCAACAGTGTTTTATCAGACAAACCCATTTGTATCCATACACAGGAAGACAATGTTTCAGCACATAATTAACTAGAGCAAGAATTAAGAGTAAGAAACAGCAACTTCAGGAAAATGAGTAATTCTACAGTTCTAATGCCCTTGGAAAGGGAGGGAGAAAGACTTCTCTAGGAGGTAAAGGCCAGCTTTAATCTCATCTCAGCTCTCACCTTACTCCATGCTGCATAAGACTGATGGGTATAAGGAGAAGCACAAATTACATGGGTCAGAGGTCATCTGCTACTGCTTTGTTCTAAGTCCCCCTGGAATACAATTTTTCACTACCATCTGGCATTTGCTGGATTTTACACCTGTCTTTCCCTAAAATTAACTCTCCCAAAGCCCTCTGACATAAAGGTTAATGAAAATTGTGCATTGGAATCCTTACAAGCACCAAACTCGAAAATATTTTTCCCTCATTAAAGCCACATCTTTTTCTTTCCATGTTTTCTCCTGGGTTGCTTCTCCTGAAATAAGAAGGAAGACTTTGTTGTAAACTAGATACATCAGAAAGTGTTAATTTTTACTCTAAATGTGAAGCACAGGTTAAACCATAATAATTTTCATGTCAGCTTAGTGTGATAGTTTTTTCTCCTTGGCTTTGCACAGGGAATCTGGGCATGACCCTCATTCTTGACATAGAAATTTCCTTTGCCTCTCTAAATGGGGCTACTGTCTTCCAGACTTTTAGGTTTCCTTTGTAATACCCCTAACCTTTGTAGTGGCAGCAGGAAAGACATTTCCATGAGAGTCATCTGTCAGGGTAGATACAAACCCGAGACTCCTCTGAGCCTTAGTGTTACAGTCTTGAAGGCTTTACTCAGCAGTAAAATAAACACAAATTATTTCCCTCTTGGACCTGGGACAAATATGCTGGTTTTCAGGATGTGGCAATGATTTTCATCAAGCCTTCTTTTTTTCAAAAATATTACATATCTTTATGATTGTGTCTGTGATAAATGCAACCTGTGTCCCTATATGGATATACAATTACATATAGGGGGAAATGTAAAAGTTTATAATAGTAAGTCTGAAAAGTGAGGCGCACTGAGCGCAGGTTTTGATCTTCTGTACTTTTAACCTCCACTTAAAGGGAAACTGCCAAAGATAAGTGTTGACTGTACAGTAGACAATCTGTTTGATTAAAAATCCAGCACAGCCCACTGACCTATTGATCAAATTGTTGCGGCTGCAAAGTAAATGATGTAATCCACTGTAGTCTGTTTTATACATATGGCAACATTTATAAAGGGACTAAATTAATAAATTGTTACTTACAAGGTACAATTCTCTAATTTTCCACATATACATTTACTTTGGGTGTGAACATGCATGCAGCAGCTTATGAGTTAACATAAATCTGGAACAAACTTTATGCACAGTACACTTTCAACACAGTAAGAGCACAGGCTGAAGGTGGGTTTAAGCACTTCAGGAGAGTGTGAGCCCTGAGTTTTCTTACCTGGAGTAAGTATTATATTGGATGTAACCACATGCTACTGCATAGAGAAGTGACTTGAGGCTGAATCATCAACACTTTTCAGATAAAATAAAATAGCACTTCATTTTCACCTTATCAGCACCTCTTGCTTAATCTGAAAGTAGTGCCAGGGTTGATAGTAAAATCTTACCTTAATGTAAACTTAATGTAACAAACCCCCACGGAGCCACAGTGGTACATATGTCTTGGATCATACACAAGGTTAGTATTTACTATTTTGTAAGATTTTCATAGCCATCTGCAGTAGATATGGAACATACAGAGGTGACAACTATGTAATCTTTAAGGCAACAGGCCTTCCTGGTACTGATAATAATGCTCACCTTTAACTCTTTAGAGACAAATTTTTGTATGGGAAGGTACTGTGATGTGACTTATCTGGTGATCTCTAATGTTCTTGGTTCTCTCCTTTCCAGCAAACTCATTCTAGCCTCTTTAAGTAGCATCAGATGCTCTGTTCCACATCTATGACCAATAACAAATGCACAGTAAGGTTCTAATTATATATACATACATGCATGTGTATATGTACATATAGGCATATGTGTGTATATATATATGTGTGTGTGCATGTGTGTGTGTGTGTGAATATTGTATTTACCTGAATTTTTTGTTAGATCTTTTCCTCCTTTCCTTTTGCATTGCTTGTCTTCTAAAGCAGTAGCCTGGAAACTTTTAGACATGTTATTAGCTTTAATTACATGAGTAGTTCTCCAATAACTACCTTTCGCAAGACTGGGAGTGCCTGTGTACATGTGAAGAGGATTAAAGTGAAGATTTATTACAAACTCAGGCTATTTTCCAGGTTGTGTTTGTGAAATAACTGAACAGAGAAGATTGGAACCAACCCAACCCTCCTACAAGCAGGACAACAACTGTAAAGATTTAAAAGACCGCATCTGACAGTAAATCCTCCATCACACTGATAAAGCAAGAGATATTCTGTAGAGACTGGGATAAATCTGCTGCTGCAGTTAAATGCTTAGCATTATGGTAGCTAATAAACATCAAAGGTGACCAGGGTTGGATGTGTAATCTTGCTGAGATAGCTGATAGGCTCCTTTCCTTTTGAACAAACCTATATTGTAACATTCCCAAAGCAACCCTGGGATCTGGTGCCTAGAACAGGAAATTATTTTCTTGTCCTCAGGGGATTCTTTAGTGCTATAAATGACTGGATGACTTTTTCAATCAGGACAATAAAAAGGCAATCTTCAGCTGAGTTTCAAAAAGTATTTCTGATTTGACCACTTTGTTTCATTCACCTCATTCTGATTTTCTGACTTCATAGAAAAAATATGAAATAATTGTCTTTAAGTAAAATATATTTCAGTGAAAATTAGAGAGTTTTAAATTTAAAATTCACTGAAAAAGAGAATTCTGGACAATGGTGGAGCTGGGCAACTCATAAAAAGCAAGGTTGGGCTTTGTGTGATTTGAGGAGTTTGGTGGTTTGGGATTTTTAGTTAATTTTTTTTTTTAATTTAGAAATATTAATCTTCACCAAAAAATTCTTAGGAGCTTCTGCTCCATTTTTTCAGGAATAATTTAAGTATTTATGAACTTGCTTTTAAAGATGCACCACTGAGACACATAAGCACGCTTTGCAAGCAAATTAATGTACTTGTCTCTCCCAGGCATTGATGAAGAAATCTCACAGTTCTTTTAGGTAGTTCCTTTAGAGCATTTAACATGTTTGGCATTTTGTAGAACCACATATGATACCCAAAGGACACACGGGTTTGCAGGGCTGGCAATTAGCACTTTACTTGTTTGGGTTTTCTGTACAATATACTGTTTATGAAAGAAAGTATGCCATGCATACTGCCACTTTTGAATTACAGTCACTGAGTGGGGGGAAAAGAAGAGAAGATAAAGACAACTGTGAGCTGTCACAGTTTTTACAGACAAAGGCTTTTTTGTTGCAACTTAATACTGAGAGAGAGGCAGTTCACAGGCCCATCACAGACTACAGTAATTCTTCCAGAGTTTTTCCAATGTCAGGCATGTTTTTATCTCTTTCCCTCAACTGAAATTACAGTTCCATCCAAAGGCATGGGCTAAAATAGGAGAGACTGGTCTCTGCTGGCAAACAACTGGCAGCCATGGAAGACTCCCTGCCTGGCCCCATAAACACCATGCTTGTATAACCAGTTGTGGATATATATACACAAAAAAAATGCAGTCATCACTGAGCCTCAGTGCTGGAGACAGCGTCCATCAGTTTCTATGTTTATGGTACTTCTCCAGGTGTGTGCCCTGGCTTCTTGCTCTACTTTTATTCTCAGCTTTCCCCTGGGAACCTGACGGCATCAGCCCTACTCCCTCCCCTTGCGATTTTCTTTGCAGCTCTAGACACCTAGCTCTAGTTGCAGTTGCAGCTCACCTTTTGGCTCTCTGTGCCGAAGCTTTCACATCCTCTATTGCTTCTTTGAGAGCACCAGCATCTGTGGATCTTGGTCATCTGGCAGGAATGATGCCTCAGCCTTGAGGCACTGCTGGTCTCCCATGCATCTTGTTGCCCCTCCTTTGGCCCCTGCAACTTGTGGAAGAGGAAGGAAACAGGATTAGAAGCTGCTGGTGGGGCAGAGAGTGGTGGTGCTGTTCCTTAACCTCCAGGAGGACGCCTGAGTGTGGCCTTGCCACAGCGACAGCTTCCACTTGTTCCTAGATAAGACGGGCAAGAGCATCAGCTGCAGCCCCAGTACAGAAACATCCTCCAGTAAGCCCTGACGACAAACAGCACCTTCCCTTCACACCACTCAGTAAGTACTTCTGCAATGTGTTTTCCTCCCGACTGGTTGGCTTCTTGATTTCCTTTTTTTTGAGGGCGTGTGTGGATTTGTTTGTTTTGTTTTGGGTTTTTTTTAGCAGCCACCACCAGCAAGTTGCCTTATCACCTCTGGGGACGAGCAGGAAAACACCAGGTCCCCACTGCATATGGAATGGGCTGGGGATGGTCCTGTGTGGGGAAAGTTGAGGTATGACCTAACTGAGTCTGGGATTTGGGGATAGGAAAATGGGGACGAGAGCATTTTAGAGCAAAATAAAGCACTAACTGCTAGGACAGTTCAATACCCAATTTGTAAGTCAGCAAAGTGGGAGCTGGTATAAGGACTTCTTATCTCACTATTAAGTCTGCCATGTGCAAGGGGTTAATTTGTACCTCAAGAAATAAGTTAAGGAAGACTGTATTTTTTATGATCTCCAAAGACAAAGACTTTGTAACTAGAACTTGTGCAAATGTATAGTGCATTTTTTTTAAATCAACCAAATAAATGTTTTTATTTTACAAGTTTATTTTACAAGCTAGTAGTGGGAATTTGTCTACCACCCAGCCACAATTTTTTGAAATGGCACCCAGAAGCACACTGACTATGAGAAGAAACTGCTCCAAGACAATTCTGTGGTACTTCTGCATCCATGCTATTATTAGTAGCAAAAGTTTTGGGTAGAGGGAGGCAGTCAGATCATGCTTTCAAATATCTAAGTATTTGCTAAGAAGATTTAAATATGCTTTATAAAAGTGAACATCAGAGTAATCTGACAGTATACCTGTGGAGAGCAGCCTAGTGCCTAAGTAACTGAAGAAGAAAGTTTGTGCATTAACACGAAGCTGTCTCCTGTATCCCAGAATGCTTCACTCCAATAGAATAATGTTAAATATATAGTAAAATTTGTAATTAAATGTTTGGAGTGCAGAGCAGCAAGACTGAGAATTTCTTCTTGTAGGACATCTATTTTCTACTCTGACTTGTAATCTTGCTTTATTCAGATGATTTTTCCAGGAAGCAGTTGTAATGGGGCTGAGATAGGATGGGGTATGGGTGAAGGTGCGTATTTTCTGATAAAGGTACTAAGGCTGCTTGCTGAGTGCAGATGGAAGAAGCCAAATGCAGCCAGATGTTGTACCATTCCCCTTGACTCCTGACCTGTTTCACATGATTTCTGCATAGGGCAGATGTGTGCAAGATGGCTTTATCCAATCTTATTCCTTCTTTCTGCATTTGTAAATTACTTCAAGCAAATAAGGGGCCTACTCACACTATAGAGCCCTCCACAGGGAGCATGCTACAGAAGGAATGACAGATCTTGCTCTTTGCCTCCCACATATCTGCAGGGCTAAAGGAGCAGGTAAGGACACTGGAAGCCTGCTGTCCCTCCTTGCTTATGTGCTCATTGCAACCAGACAGAAAGGGGAAAACAAATATAAAATAATTTAATAATCAAACCCCCAGGAAACTGTAAGTGCATGCTTAGTGGGGAGAAGAGGCGCCAGTCTTAAAGAGTAAACCTCCATGCCAAAGCAGCTCTTTGGGCAGGGCAGCAAAATGCTACTTTTTGTCCAGAATGGACTGTAACTAACGAAGTCCAGCCTCTGCTTCATGTCTGCATTTGGCAGCAGCCTGTGAGATATTCCCTATTTACTTCCATTCCCAGCTATTGAGTACACCACCAGCAGCAAGGTCAGGCTCTGCCTATGAGAATGAGGACAAAGAAGTGTGCACACTGTACCACCCTAGGACCTTAGTTGCCTCTGTTTCTGCCTCTGCTTCCCTCTATTCTTCTTGGGAGCTGCTCTGGCTTCAGAAGATAAGCACATAGGGCCAAACAGGCTTCTGTGGCAACATAATTACCAGCTATCAAAATGAAGTTATTAAATTCAGATTGACTGCTGTCACCCAATAAGGATGCTTTCAAAAGTACTTTTATTTATCTAGCATCCTTGTCAACATGCCCGTGATTTGTTTAATAATTATGCATGCACTGGAAATAAGCACATTTTTCTTCAGGATTTTGTCAATTGTAGAAACAAAACACTCTCCTGAACAAGAAAAAAAAGTACAAAACCTCATACACCACACGGTCTAATAAAATCTTCAGAGGCACAGCTTGTGGATACTTTATAAAGGGCCAGTTCAGAAATTCTAAGTATTCAATATACAAAGAAATCACAAGCCTTAATGTACAATGATGAGGAGTATTGACAATGATGCCCACAAATAACCCCTGCAAACTTTTATAAGAATTGCACATCAAAACTTCATTTCTCCATCTTATAGGTAAGAATGATCACCTATGGGTGACTCATTTGAGAACTGTATTGTCTCTTCAGATTACATACAACTATCTGTAGTAGCTAATATCCATGTAGTTGCATAGCCCCTACAACCCTTCAAACCCTAAGAGAAATGGAGTTTTTTTTCCCCCAAGCCATTTCCATGCCTAATTCAAGATCAAATGAAAAATAAGTCCAGCCCTTTAGTTTTGTTCTCAAAGCTTTTGTTTTCTATCTTACACGGTAAGATTTTTCTCATGAGATTTCATTTTAAGTCAGTTTAAATGCCACATTATCAGATTGCCTTGAAAGATTTGCATAACCTTACACACATCTACATTAAACCAATTGTGCACTAAAAGAGTAAACTAAACCAGGTTTCTTTATCTGTCTCTAGCAAAGTATTTTTACCTAACTGAAGCCTGGGACTGGTTGCATTAGTGAATTTTGTTATGGAAACCAAAAATTTAAGCAAATAAAGTAAAAATATACTTGCAAGTATTTGTGTGTTTTAGAACTATGCTAGTGAGTGATAGCTTTAGCTTTATTTGGGCACTTTATTCAATTGGGTACAACAACTGAGAATTTTGAAAAAAGTTTTAGTATGTGCTTTAACCTATCTAAAAATCCAAAGCTGATATCCAGAAAGTGAAAAGTTCAGATAGTTTTCATCTGAATCACCATATCTTACAAGGGTGTATGCCCAAAGGAGTCATGCTGTTATATGACAGTGATTCAGCATGAGATTTCATTCACATTCAGCTTTTAGTAATACTTGCACTTTTCAGTCTGCCTTACTGTTCATTGCCCTCCTCTGTCTGTAACTAGAGCCAATGCAATCTCATGCCAAAAATTTTAACAAGGAGCAATGCAAAACTATGTAGGCAAAGCTAGAACCTACCTCAACTTTAAGGAAAGCATTTCAGCTGTCTTTATCAGCTCTCTCTTTTCCAAGAAATAAGAGACTTCAGGTGACCCATTTAGGCACATATCTCTGAAGAAGGTTGTACAGCCTAAATGCACTGTAAAAAAGTCTTTGGCTAAATGACAATTGAATCCTAAAGCATATAGGAAAATCTGTAGCATCTCAGGAAGTATCTTCTATTGTGCGTGGACTAGGCCTCCAATGTAACCATTAGAGATGCATAAAGGATGAATGTGGATCATTACGTCAAGAGACATAACAGAGTGCAAGAAGAAGCCACTTCATCACATGAATAGCAAGCATTTGCTACCAAGGTGACTGATGGAAGCTGAGAGTGAAAACTGTGCTAACGTGAAGGCTGCTAGGAAAAGTGTTGCTCTTAATGTCTGAAAATCTGAGAACATGCTTCAATTTGTAAAGCCATATTAATGCTTCACACAATCCCCATAGCAGGCTACCTTCCAGGGCAATGTAGCTAGGGAATCTGTTACCTTAGTGGCAGGAACTGGTTTCAGTGGTTTGGGAAAACCACCATTACAATGGTCACATACAGCAACTTTCCTTTGAAGGAGAGCTTTGTGTGTAATCTATGGTGACAGAACGTAACAGTGCTCAAAGGTTCACACATCATACACAATGTACATAAACCCAAGATACCAAAATCCATGATCTATTTTGGTAATTTTTATCTTTTTATTCTTTTGTCACACAGACTGTCATGAAGTGCAGTGTTTTAGTAAGCAAGGCAATGCTGACTTCAGGGCACACTTAGAAAAGAAATGGAAGGAGAGTGTCAGAAGTGAGCCTGTAAACCAGAATTTTAAAGCACTGAAGATGCCAAGGGCTTAGCATGTGTGACAATGAAAATATGAACACAGACCTAAGAGATGTATTTTAGAATAGTATTTTCCAAACTACCACAATAAGAATGAAGCAATCCTATCTATCTCTTTACAAAGCTTAATTTTTATTGGGTGAAATAATTCAATGAAACAACTTATTGAAATCTAACTAATTTTAACTATATTTTATAAGCTATTTCCAGCAAATATAATTTACTACCAATTTTACATTTAAATTTTTCTATCTATCCCCAGCCTTTTTTGCCTCAAGACATGTTAAAACCAAAAATGTCCAGAGTGTCTGAAATAATATCCCTGATTTCACTGAAAACCTTGTAAACAGAGTATTCTTCAGAAACGAACATTTTATCTACAGTGATAACATTTAGCCAGCATGTCCTAATCAAATCCAAGAAAATCAAATGGCATCGAAAGAATTAAACTCTCTTAAGTCACAAAATGCAGTGCAAGCCTTCATATGGACAGATAATAAATTTTGTATTAAACAAAATTATGTCTGCTTTATTTTAAACTGCAGCTATAGCTTACTTATATAGTGATAAACAGAGCAACCATGTTAAGGTGCCTTCAAAGATTGCTTTCTATAGTCTTCCTAAGTGAAGGGTTTTTCTTGTAGTGAAGGCAAATGAGCCTTCAGGCAGTATAACACTTTAGTACAGATGTGAGGCTGGACTGGACATTTCTATAGCAAACATTTGGAGGTGAAATTCCTCATCAAGACCTGATTCAGTAAGATCTTAATAATTTGTAGAATATTACAAATTTTTGTAAATTTTAAGTAGTGAAACATAAGGGAATTTAATCCCCTATGTACAATATCAGTCAACATCAACTTTTGATGTTGACATGAGTTGAGTCAAATTTGATGCTGCCAAGCAGTTGTGAAAGGATATCTATCTCACCCTCCTCTCTACCACTGACGGTTGGTCCATAAAGAGATAACCTAGGGGCTGAAAGGCCCAGCAAGAGGTCATCCCTGGCTCCATAAGTGCTCAGACCTCAGCTAAGAATCAGCATCTTAGTCTGGAGAGCAGATGCGGGAAGAGATAAAGGAAATATTCTAGCCTGAGAGACACTGTTTTACAAACAATAAAAAACATAAGAGTTATCACAGAGGTAGAAGCCTTCTACACATACACCCTGAAAGTGTGGAAGATTTCTCCCTGGACTTTGGATGCAAATCCATGGTTACTTCCCTGAGGATTAAGGGAAAGGATCTTGATGTGTGCCCCACCATCAACTGGACTGTAAGATACATTGAATCCGAAGTTATATTATTTCTTTGCTAGCTGTAACATTAATAGGTACCTTTAACCTCACTCTGTATGTCTGCTAGTAGTCTTTTTTATTTTTTGTCTTTATTTCTGCATAGTATTAATTTGTTTAAAGTCTTATGTCTCTTAGTTTTATGTCTATTAAATAAATAATTCATTCTATAGTAGACCAAATCAGCCTATATTAAAAAACTTGTGAAGGAGAGTGAGCTTCGGGGTTCTGGCTGCCTCAATAAAGCTACTGCCTGCTACCAGAGGCCTGGGCAAAAGGCAAGGGCTCGTCTAAACCACCACATACAATCATAACAGCAGTGTTACTCCATTTATTTATAAGTCACTGGATTTAAGACATGTGTTATCATCCACTGAAGAACTACATCAGTGCAACCTTTCCTACCTTCTTTTGCAAATATTTCTGTGAGTGGATTTTGTTCAACAGTTAATTGTTCTTTACATAGATGCAAGTTTAGTCATGGAAATGAAATTAACTCCCCTACTGTTCTGTTTCTTGTCATCAAACAACCATTGTAATTTACAGAGAAATAATAAGGTAATTTCTTTTCCTCCAGCAAGATAAAACCAAACTCCCACAGTTTAGTCTCCTGTTTTCCCATCCTCCTTTCCACTGTTATTCTGCAGCTGCCTCTTTTCTTACTTTTCTCTTTTATTTGCCTTTCCCTCTCTACCTCCCCTTCCTCTTTTTTTTTTTTCCCAATTAGTTCTTTCATCTTCTATTCATAATGTCTCCAGGTTTTTTTTCTTTTCCTCATTCCCTTTCATCTCCTTACAAGGAAGACATAGTATGCTCTTATTCCCTGAAAATGGAGAACAGAGGTTGTGAATAAAAAAACTACCACAGCTGTTGCTGGATCAAAGAAGATACCAAGATCACTTGGACTGCACCCTCAGGTTGTAGGCTGTTTCCCTTTAACATTGCTTTTGTCATTCTGATGAGTTTCTGTTAAGCAATGATATAAATGATCAGCAGTGAAAAATGGTCTAAGTTTCTTCTTTCTGTGGTGGCATCTGTGGCAGCCCTGGGATCAAATCTCAGCTTGCAAGGTGCCGGGGAAGCTCAGGTAGGAGGATGGGTGAGGATGGACTTCTACACCCACTGCAGCTATAAGTAAAGGGGGACAAAATAGCCCAAACAGCAATCCAGTGAGACTTACAGAGCATGGACACTTAAATAGCTGCGTGAAATGGGTTCCGATGGTCTTACCAAAGTCATGAGTAAGTTCACTTCATGATGGCTTTGGGATCTGTAGGTATTGGCCGTCTTTCTGAGGCAACACTTTGCACCTGGTTTTTCTGGGGTATGTAAGGTCTCTTAGTGGAGCTGGACTTAAAAGACTAAGTTAAAGACTTAAAAGACAGAATTCATGATTAAAGTTGGTTCATATAATAAATATCAAACATAATCCTTAGTTTACTGTTGAGAAAAAATGGAGAAGAAAACCAAAACAAAACATCCTATTCCTTAGCATTTACTTTGTGTATGAGATAGGACTTTCTGTATGAGATAGCACTTCCTGTATGCTCAAAAAAAAAACTTTTTCTGTAGAGTCAATCTATGCTAGTGTGAGTTGATTCAGCAAGGTAGGTGGAAAAATAGGTTACTGTGTGTGTAACCAAGGCAGTGAATAAACGCATTGCATCATGTGTGAGTAAACAATCGGGTCAGCAGCCTGCTGGAAGACAAGAATTCCTCATCAGTTGTTAGGTAACACCAAAATGCCTGTTTTATGTCATGCTGCTGAATTTCTTCTAATTTTTTTTTCTTAATATGGTGTAGTATCTTCACAGGAGGAGAAAAGCCTATTTCAATGATGTCAACAGAATGTGTTCAGCCACTTGATATTCCAGATGACAGACTGGACAAGCAAGATTCACAGTGTAACCATTTAGGTAAGTGTTTGATGATGTCATTGCTCTAATGAGGGGTGTTGTCTTCATATAATAAAGTCCTGTCCAGTGTCTATTTTTTCCCCTCCAGCGATACAACTAACACATGAAAACAGATAGATTACACCTTCTGCTGACACGTCTAGTGCCAGATGGAAAGACAAAGAGCATTCTTCCTTCATATAAATATCATCTGAAGCTATAGAGTGAAGTTAATTAAAGAGGAGAAAGGAAAAAGAGTAATTTTTTTTTTCCTTGGTAGAGCAGATTCTTTATTTATACTTCATTTATACTTATAAATTGTAAGTTAGGATATAGATGAGCTTTCCCTGAATATATCTTCCATATGCAATTTGAGTAAAAGATTTCAAGCATTCCATTTGCCATCACTGAGACAGCTTCTAAAAATGTTTCCTGTGTTGGGAAGTTTTTTCTTTTCATGAATGGAATGGGACTGCTTGGAGATGTTCCTTGAGCTTTTATTGCAGCATCAGCCTCATTACATGGTTGAGACAATAGAAAGATGGCAACAGCTCATGTACTGCCAGCAACAGCCAAAGACCTCTTTGTTATAGAGCATTTAAAATACTTCCTAGCCAATAGTGTATTGCTGAAGCTTATAGACAATTGTTTTAGCAATTACTAAAACTACACATATACCTGCTTCACGCAATGCCTTGCTTGTCTGCTTTTCTATTAACAATACACAATACTTCATTATTAAGCTTAAAACCTTCTACTATCTTGCCAAGCATATTTTTCTGCAATCATAAGGTCTATCTTAGCCAAGCCTAAAACTCCAGCTATTGTTTCATGTCCTTGCTTACTATATTATTGTAGCTTTTCCTAGCTTCAGACTTTGCAGCTGTAGCTAGTTCTAGGTTTTTCTGCTCTTTCTGTTTCTAAGGCCTGCTTTTACGCTTTCTGGAAATCATCTTACCTTTACTATTTCACATAGTTTTCTCCTTCATCATCACTTTCCTTTCTTGAAGCTCTTAGTGTTTAGGTGCACACATAATCACAGAATATGATTATATGCATGTGCTTTTATTGAAGAGCTCTGGTAATCAGGGGTACAGACCCAAATCTGACTCCGACATGGCTTTCGGGCTGAACGTATTTTATATTCTATCGTTATATAACTTACATATTAATTATTAAACTTATATTGTTCTACTGTATACATTGACCTTATTCAAGCATGAGTTTCTCGTGATCTTTCTCAAGCCCCTGACCACAGTTTCTCATGATTATTCCTACAATTAAACAGTAATTATATTTAATTACTAAACAATCACCACATCTTACAATTATATAATTTATCATACACTAGCTACACAGGTACAGTTCTAGCAAGTACAAGACCAATACATTCCCAGGGTATTTTCCCAGGGCCTACGAAGCCTAACTTTCCTACTAACTCCCCAAATCCCCATGATTTTAAAACCCTTTTACTATCAAAGCTACTTCACATAGCTTTTACAATGAGCATACCAGGGTTGTCTTTGTTCTGTCATACTCCTGAATACCAGATTTCATGCTTGATAGATAAGCTTTTTGCATATTCATGGTCTTTGCCTCTGCTTCTAGTGCTATGATTTCACTCTTATCTTACAAAATTGTCCTGAAGATTTAGCAACCCAGAAAGAAAAATCGGTTTCCTTGTTGTTACATTTGTGACAACAATAATGAAAGACAAATGCAATTTCACTCCCTTGTAAAAGAAAAGTGTTTCACCACAGGTTTTATAAATTTTGTTTATTAGTACTATAAGGAAGTTCTGTCTCTGCTACATGGCATTTCTGGCCACAGACACTTTTTACAACTGCTGGTATACCATAGTTGGTCCATAAAATTGCTGATTTAAATACATATAGAATGAGTTTCATTATACTGTTGGAAAACTGAGGCAGTGGGGTGGTAAATGAACTCATTAGGACTATGAAGAAAGCTATGAAGGCCAGAAAAAAATTCCACATCTCCAGGGACTTAACCCAGAGGCCATCCTTCCCACATCTACCTGCAGGCTCACAGACATAACAGCTGCCTTAAATAGTGTGAAAGAGCCTGGAATGAAGTTGTGATTGCATCCAAGTCTGCAGTCAGGGGTTGGGTAACGATGTGGGGAGCCCAGCTGAAGGCAAACAAGCAGCTTTTAAGAATTCAAAATATCGGTTTCTGTGATGATACTAATGAGAGGTTCACAAATGAGTGTTTAAAATGCTTAAAGAATCATCGTCAAGGTTATTGGCAAAAAGCAGGGTTTTATATGAATTCATAAGAATGCAGCTTTAACAGACTTAAATTGCAAGGCTTGTTCTATTACTTACTATGTAGACAATGCATACATAAGTAAATTGGATTAGAAGCAACTTGGAATGATTTACATGAAGACTGGAAATGCAAGAGGGGAAGGGTGCAGAGAATATGGATATAAGAAAAGGGTGCAAAAGCACTTAATCATTGACTAATTTAATATTTTAAAAAATAATTCAATAGGATTTGCTACAGTTATAACAGTGAGTTAATTATATACTCAAAACAGCATTCATACCACAATCCATTCACTTGCATGAACACATGAGAAAAGATGTATACACCTATATCAACTAGTGTAAAGATACCTATCAAAAATTCCTGTCAGGCTCAGTGCAGTACTCATATCAAATCCCCTAGCATTTCTCAAACGGCATGGGCTGCACCTCAAGGACTATGTATGTGTGGGGGTGGTATCTGCCTAGACCTTGTTGTCAGCAACAGTCTTTCAAGTATTGCTGACTTGAGGGTTTGCAAGCTCCAAGAGGCATCCTACTCAGAGGCCCACTGTGTTCAAGGAGAGCTCAAACAGCTCTCCTTGCTGCTACAGTGCTGTTTGTAGCATCACAAGATGATTTTTCCCTAAAAGTCCAGTAAAAATAATACTATTACACTCAGGCTATGATTCATTTTTTCAAAAATGAAAATGTCTCCTAACAATGGTACCATTTCAGTTGGGTAAATGACTTACCAAGGCTAATAAGAATGACTGCTTATCCTTTGTTCCTTACCTTGGTTGGATTGCTAATGTTTCTGGTATGGTCATAATAGCTCCTAGCTTTACCATACAAGAGCACCCTGTATGCTCATGGATGCTTCACTGCCCAGCTGGCACAGTTAAGGGGCACTTCATCACTCAGCTGATTCAACTAAGACTTATCAGGAACTGTTGAGGTTGTAGATCAGGCCTAAAGAGGAGTTGAGGGAGAGGGATGTACTACCAAAAGTGATCTTCAGTATTTTCAGCTTGCATAAGCACCCAGAAATACAGACCCTTGCAGAAAAAATCCTGCTGACTCTCTGAGTGATCTGAGTAAAGGATTGTTTTAAAGGAAAACCAAAAATCCAGTGTTATGTAAAATAAAAAGCAAATACCAATTGCTTATTAGCTCTAGAAATAAAGTTAACTCTTGATGGGAACAATATACTGACTGGCTCATTTTACAAATAGCTCAGACTGACCCTATATATGTAAAACTTTCCTTCACAAAACTGGCCTTGTAACCCTTGAAGATACAATCCACAGTTACCACTGGATGAATCAGGGGTGGCTATAGAACCTCTGCACACAATGATGCAGCCTTCCCTCTGACATGTGAAAACACAAGCTACCCACAACTATCTCTCTCTGTTTTATGTCTACTGCCAACAAGAAAGCAGGACTACCTAAGTCACATGACTCTCATGTACTATGGCACAGAGCCCTCTTTTGTTGCCTTTCTAAATGTTTAAGAGATTTTTCTTCCTGGACTCTTGGATTAAAGCACTATTATCAAAGTTATTCTTTTCACCATCTGGTTTTTTACCTCCCCTAAATTTTAATTTCTATTATATTTTTCCTCTGCAGAAGATCTTTCAGAGCAGCTGATTAAGAGCTGTGACCTCAAAAATAAATCAAGAAAAGGTAAAACTCTCACAGCCTCACAGAAAACTGAACAGGAGCAAAAGAAGCCAAAGAGGAAAGATACACCGGCTTTGCACACTCCACCACCTCTAACAGGTGAGCAGTAAATCTCTCAACTTTGAAATCCCAATTAATCTCTGTGGATTGGAGCAGGGTGAAAGTCTGTGTTCAATCAGTTATGTCCCCTCAAATGCAGACAGGAGCACAGCTTTCTGCATGTGCCCCTGGGAAGGCAGGTGAACAGAAAGTCTGACTTTCTCAAAGACATTGTATGTTAGTTGAAGGGTTTGGTCTCACTTCTGAGAATACCAAGGCTGGATAGGTTTATGCTCTGAAAAACATGCTTCTGTGGATCTCATAGTCTTGCTGATAAATAATGTTACATTTATGTGTGAAATGATGTGTATTTATTGGCAGCTGCTGAGCCATACTAGATGTCACAGTTGGATATGGTCTAAAATTTAAAAGGATCATGTCTAACCCCTGCACTTTCTTGTGAAACGGTATCCAGTGAACCGCAGGAGGCTGGGGCTGGGAGTAGACCAGTCAAGCACACAAGCCACCTGCGGGATTGTCCTCCTGGAAATCAGGGATCATGTGTTTATGGGGACTCTGGAAAAGGGTACGTGTTTCAGGAAAACATCACAGCAATGAAGGGGCTTCTTGTGGAATGCTCCTTACTGTAGCACAAATACAGATGTTTGAGACCCAAAAGCCACCAACCTGGAGAAGGGAAGAATAAATAGGAGACTGCTACTGAGACCAAATGATCCAAGAACAGCAGTGGGAATAAAGTTTGTCACTGTCAGCTAACATGAACTCTGTGTTATAAATTCCAGCAAGAGAGATGTGCTCTTATATTATTGAGTTCTTTCCATGATGCACATACATGGAGGAATTAGCCAGTAACTACTTGCATGCTCCTCTGTATATCTGCAACAATTCACCAAGTCAAAAACAAGTACCTGAGATATTGATATTGAATTTGATTCTGTTCAGTTTTCAAATGTACCTTCCATCAGCAATTCTCTCTTAGGAAGAACAGCTCAGAGGCTGGAGAGCTGTGTTTTCTTCCTGCAATTGTCATATCATAAAGAAAACATTATTTCACTAGCTAAAACAGCCATTTCTATGTGGTCACATTGCTCCCAACTAACCTCCTGAGTGTCTGTGTGATTAAGTTACTGTGTAGATGTCTAAAGTTCTGGAATAGGAGATTACACTCATCTGTCCCATAATTTTTAATGCATTATGTACAACCAGAAGTGAGCTGGCATGATACCATAATTTTCTAGAGTCTATGGGAAATAATTAATTTGAAAGAAATGTAGGGTAGGCACATCATGCAGCAGATCATGCAGTGTACTTCAGAGTAGTCTTTGGGAGAGCTACACAGGTGGAAGTTTCTTCTATGTAAACAGGCTAAAGTAGCATTTTCTTTATTTCTTGCTTACAGGCATAGTTTCAGGCTCGTCTGAAAATCTGCTGAAAAGGTATGGTATCACAGAGAAGTCACAGAGAGAGAGAGTGACTCCAGTCTCTCATATCACTGAACTGGAGCAGAAAAAGCCCAGAAGAAAAGATACACCTGCAATACACATCCCACCTTTGATAATAGGTAAGAAATTTTGGTAAAGACTCTCCTGAGAGGGAGCAAAATGTCACTAGTGTCAGAGATATACTTAAAAGGCTGAAAGGAGGTTGCTCTCTTCTCAATATACTTAGCAGTTCTTGAACTGGACCTATTTGGTCATAGTGGGAGTTCATTAAAAGTCAAATCCCATGTTCAAGTTCCAAGGAGAAAGAATGGGGAGAAAGAAAAGGCATTTGGTCACTTGATTATCTCTTGCAAACTGCAATCCTACTTTGCTGAAAAGCCAACTACTGCTCTGCTTTTCAAAACTAAGCACATAGAAATTTTTAGGTCACCAGCACTAAAATGCCTCCAACAACCTGGAGCAAAGCTGTACTGATCAATCCCCTCTTCATTCTGTGGTTCCTGATATGCACTGAGGAACCCAAGTGGTGATGAACTTCTCATTAGCAGCCCCTTAAAGATAATTCTGTGCTTCTGGCATGACATGCAATAGACACTGCGTAACATGCCAATAGGGAAGGGAAGGGAAGGGAAGGGAAGGGAAGGGAAGGGAAGGGAAGGGAAGGGAAGGGAAGGGAAGGGAAGGGAAGGGAAGGGAAGGGAAGGGAAGGGAAGGGAAGGGAAGGGAAGGGAAGGGAAGGGAAGGGAAGGGAAGGGAAGGGAAGGGAAGGGAAGGGAAGGGAACCTTACCGTGGATCATTCAAATAGAGCTAACTTGCTTTTTGGGTAAAATCAGGAGTAAGAGTTCAGGAATGTATGCTATTTAGCTGCACTGTGCTTTATGAACATATCCCCTCTCTTATTTAAATTAAGCAGTGATGAAGTAAAAGTATATTTATTAATTCTGATTACCTAGTTATAGTGCACAAACCAGCCTTTTTAGAGCAGATACTAGAGATACCTGAAATGTAAGATCCAAACAGAGGTCCCCAGCTCTCAGATGGACCCATATTAGTAATGTGTCAGATGCTTACCACAATCAATAGCAAGATCATTACCAATGAATCACTTGCTAACTGATGAACTCCAGAGGTTCCCAGTAGTGTTCAGGATTCAAAGCTCAGAGGAATGCAGCCCAGAGATGCATGTTATAAACTTTCCATGGACCAACAGCAATTTCAAGGACAAATCAGCATTTTAATGCAGAACAATGGAAAGGGATTACAAATGTGAAGTCAAAATGGTAGTGATTTGTATAACACTGGGAAAATATTTTTTTCTTTTATATGATGCCTCTGATCACTTGTGAAGAAAATGTGCAGTTTGGAAGTTCTGGGTTTCAAGGAGTGAGAAGCATGTTTGATTTGGGAAACATTTGTAAATTAGTCTTTCTCTGTTTGCTGTTTTAAAAATTCACTTAGCTTCCCTACCTCTGTTTTCCTAGCTGTGTGTGTTATGAAATATAACTCATCCTGCAGATCTATTTTAAGGATTGTTAGGTTGTTCTATTAATATCTGCCAAGGGATCTGGCTAAAGAAAACAGAGGGTAAATATACAATGTAACCATAATTGCCAACAGAACTTGCAAGTACTTGGCTCACAGAAACATGAGTGTTTCTGTTAGAAAGCTAAAAAATAGACAGAAAAAGTTGTCTTAAATCATCGATTTGTCAGGTGCTACCTAGATCTAAGCCATACCTCTTGGGTTACAAATCAGAAAAACAAGAAGATAGCACATGCCTACAGACTGCCTAGGGACAACTCGTGCAGCTGAGTTGGGAGAGAGAAGAGGTGAATGGTTAAACTTCCATTCTTCTCACCAAAAGGTTTTCAATAGGGGTGTGATATTCTTCTAAAGGAGCTGCCTTAACAGTTTTTCTGGACTATGAGAGAGAATGAGGATTTGAAACTGATTTTACAAGTTATCTCTCATTTGATTAGGAAACCTCAGTCACATTTCAGGAACAGTATTCCCATATTTATACATGTATTTACATTCTAGCTCTAGGCCTGAAGACCATTAATCTAGTTAATGGACTATATAATGCTAAGTGGGAATGGCAACTGTGTTCCAGAGCTGACTACAGGTTTGGATCAGATTCAAGCCATTTACCATCATGTGATATGGAAAAAATGACCGCTAGAAATCTGATTATATTTTGCTTTCTGGTCTAATCCCTTCAGAAATACAAGGTGTTTGCTGACTGAAGGAGAGCTTGCTACTTAAGGAGACATCTGCTCATGATGCATTTGTATGGGTGTGGCATAACATTAACTGTGCCACTTCAGTAGAAGTTTGAAGGCTGAATACATTTAGAAGCCTGACCCTTGTAGAGGAGATTTCAGATAACTAACTTAGTAGCCCCCATTCTTGAACTGCATTTCCCAATTGGATTGGGTGCTCCCAAGGTGTAAAACTGATTCTGCTTCTCACTTGGACCACATGCCATCCAGTAGATACAATAATTTTCTTCATTTTACACGGTACATTTAACTTGCTTTTATTTGTGACAGAAAATCATTCAGATCACCCAAAAGGGAGAGGGACTGTCCTAGGAGTGCTGGTCAAAACAAAGAGGGATAACACATCTGCCATTTTAGCTGCATTTAACAATGAAGTATTTGTGTGGACAGCTGTTCAAGAGAATACTCTATTAAATAAGATCTTTTACTAGAATTAAGTGGAGTTTCTTGAATTGGTATCTAGAAGTGGTTTGCAGGGGATCTGAAGGGGAAATATTGGAAATGGTGGCAATCTTCATTAGCAGGTCACAAAGAGATACTGATGCCTTAAGATTTTAGCTTTTATATTTTTCAAATCCCACACTGCATTAGTGCATAGCTCTGAACTCCAAAGGAAGTGTAGTTAACTGTTAACATTTTAGTTAGACAAAAGAATCCCTCTGGGCATGTGATCCAAGGACACACCACAGCCTCAGGCCCTGAAAAGTATAAACAAAAGTGAATTGGGGAGGAGCAGTTGAGGAAATATGGCTTCATTACCTGAAGCTGTAATTGGATAATTAACCCCTGATATGCAAACAGACAAAACTTGTACTTGCCTGAAAAACCTGTGACCACTGTCCATCTTGGGTGTAGCCTCTGCGAGGCTTTTACACTGCTCAAGGTGTAGCTATTGAAGGCCTTTAATAAATACCCACTTTATTCTCTTAACTCTGTCTAGCCTCTGTTCTAGGTTGCCACTCCAAGGCATCAATACCATGTAGCAATGAGTGCTGCTTACTTCAGCAAGACTAATAACAAGGAGACAGGACAGAGAGGTTTGTCCATATTTACTTAGCTCACATAGTTATGCTGGGTCTTCCCAGGTCTCCAAGTCTGTAAATCGAGTTCTGTTTTGCACAACAGTTCCACAAAAGCTTAGCTTCTTTGTGTGTACCACCAGATGGAATAAATCTGAAATTAAATAAGTAGCAAATATTGGGCCAGCCTTCAACCAAAGGCTTTTCATAGCAAATCATGGAGCCATCACTGGTGAATTTCAACCAGCAGAATGATGTACATTGGATGTATCTTGACAATTAAATATACATCCTTAGAATAGGAAGGGAATGGAATTCAGGCATGTAAATACATAGGTTATTTTGCCTTATACAGGCACAAGTCTTCCACAGGCAGTTAATCACTGGAAAACAGATTCAGAATACAGGATCTGAAAAGCTCTATACAGAGAGGCAGCATCTTAGCAGGCTGCTTTGATTCCATGCCAAGTGTTCAAAGGTGGCTTCAACAGTAGGCAACAAAGTGTCATTGGAGGTATAACTGAAAACAACTGAAAATTGCATTCATTTCTGTCATTCTCTCAATAGCAAATGTACATAGATTGAATTTCATCACACATTTGAAGGTACATTTTAAACACATATTAGTTATGTTTTCCCTGTCCCTCAAATGGCCCAGGATATAAAAACCAACAAAAAATAACCCCCACTCCCCTTTGGAGCACACACAACCCAAACCCCAAAGACTTCAGGAAAACAAAAAAACTTGTCTATATTTGCCTAGGTTGCCTATAGGGATAGAAGTCTGTGTTGGTAATATTTACATCCATCTCCATAAAATGGCATCATTCTTTGCAGTTAACAACAAGAGTTACTTAATTGCTGCTTGAATAAATGAAGTCCTTTGTGTTTCAAATTAACTGAAAGGCATAAATTAATGTTATTAATTTATGCCTTTCAGTTTATCTCATAGTGCTTCTGAAACCAGCTAGTTCACAAGAACTGCATATAAATGAAGCAGAAACTAACTGAAATGAAGGGCAGTATAGGTAAATATTTTGTACCTAATGCATTGTTCTCACAACACTCTTACTTATTTTTTAATGATGAAAGCAGTTACAATATTTGTTATACCTTGGTATTATACAAAAGCCTCCAGATCCTCAAAGGACAGACTTACTGGTTTAACAGAAAAAGAGAAAGAGAGACACAGAGAAAGGAGAAGTGACAGATTTGTGGGAGGTATAACCTACAATCCAAGTCTATTCTCACACTGTTCTTAGTTCAGTAGCTTTTGCAATTTATTGATACTATATCATTCCAGTGGAGACGGCACTTGTCATGTGGATATTTTAACATGTCTCTTGTTCCCCCTGCACTTGAAAAATCTAAGTAATATGACTATATACATAGAGAAAACATACATATCCATAAAAACTGTTTCTGTTACAAAGATTAATTACAGTGTTTGCTTCATCACGCAAGCGCTTTGTCTTATTTAGCTACCCAAACCTTTCTAACAAACAGGTTCCCAAATGAAACTTCAGTCTCTTTTTACAGGTAGCAAAAATACACTGGATTTAAGAATGCTTAATAATTTTAGCCAAAAATACAGTGATTCAACTCTAGCTCAGTAAGTATTAAGAGACTGAAATGCCAAAAAGAAATGAGGAATAACTCATATGAGGTTGGAAAATGACATTAAAATCAATAAATAGGAGAGAACTGAAAAATTCTCTTTTTGCCTGATATTTTCTAGAAAGCAGTATATTAAATAAACTCGCTTTTTCACCTTTTTTTTTTGTTTGTTTGTTGTTTGTTTGTTTTTTGTGTTCTTCTCCTTTTAAGGCACTAAGCTGTTTACAGAAGAACAAACAGTGATTATGGAAGATGAAGAAAAGGATGGAGACACAATCCACAGTTAGATTACAGTGATATTTCAATAATACAGTGTAAATAATCATGGGTCATTCAAAGTGGCAGCACATTAAAAAAGATCTTTCACTTATATAAATCATTTTCTCAGTTGTACACTTGAATTTAAATGACCATCAAGTGCTTATCTGCTTATTTGCATCTCATAATTCCGAGCAAGCATCATTGGACATGAATGGCAGAAATTTCAGTTACCCAGGGTTTGAAAAATTCTGTCAGGTTACTACAAATGGCTTCCTAGCATTTTTGTCAATGAGGAATCCACCTCAGATTAAATCTAGTTTTATGCAAGTACTCATACAGTACTTGGCACTAGAAGTAGTAATGCAGAATAGTAAAATATCAGCTAGTGATTCAAATTGCCTTTTTCCCCTGACACTTGACCTCATTTGTCCAGCTTTCCTTTCCTGGAATAGCACTGACCACAATGAAAATTCTTATGTGCAGAGCTGATGGGGTAGATGGAGAAGGTGAGAGGGCCAGGATTCAATTCTAGAGTCACTGAAATGTATAGCAAAAATTTCCTCTGCCTGTATCTGCTCATGACTTGTGTCTGTAAGGAGGAAAAGATAAATTTACTGTAGAATCAAAATTACACCTAAGGGCTCTCAGCATTGACAGATGCCTCAAATAGAATGGAGGGCAGAGATCTCAGAGAAGTGCAGTGCCTGTCTGTTACACCAGTGTAGGCAATTGTCTCCACTGGCTTGGTGAAAGATAAAATAGTTGGATAGATGATCCTTTTGCTCCAAATAATTTATTTTCACATCTGCTTTTTAAATTGAATTAATTTTTTAAAATTGAATCCCAGGTAATAGCTGGAGAGGTTGTAAAGACTCAAAATCACAGCAGGAAGGTAAAAACTGAGTAAAAGGAATAATGTTACTCAATGGCATATGCTTACTGCAAGGTAGAAGAGCATCATGTCACTTTTAAAATCATTTACCTCAATGATTCAAACAAGAATTGTTTTCACAGCTAGCTACAGCCTTCAGTATTTGTAGAGAGATGGGTATTGGTAGAATATTTTACTCAAAAAAAAGACAGAACTGGACACTTAATAACCTTAATAACTCTAGGATAGATTGAGTAGCACTGCCAGCTGCACCCTTACGGAACTAAGCAGAGAGGTTGAAGATTATCTAGCTTGGCAGACTGAATTTAGTCACATTTTTAAGTCACTTATACAGACAGCTGAAGACCATACTAGTTTGGACTCCATTTGCCACTGTGACTGACCCAACATATTTCATGAAAATGTAGCCCATTCACAAATACTTGTGAATGTATACTCTCAAGATGTAATCAATGAGCTTAAAATAAATAATTGCATATTAAATTGCACAAGAGGTCCACTATATGATTAATGGCATACCTCTTACTTAGAAAGTGTACTTGTTTTTGTCCTATTAATCTGTCAGTGAGATAATACTTAAAATATAAACAATCAACAGTTCAAGTAACAACATTAATATAAGATCCACAGTAAAGTATGTCAGAACAAGTACATGACAAGAAATGTATGACTCAGGTCTACCTTTATCAATGAAGTCAGTGAATATTTTCAGTGCATGTGTAGTGAGTTGACCTTAGCTAGATGCCAGGTGCCCATCAGGCTGCTCTATCACTCCCCTTTACAGCAGGACAGTGGAGAGAAAATAAGATGCAAAACAACTAGTAGGTTGAGATAAGGCAGTTTACAAAAGCAAAGAACAACAACAAAAAAAAGGCACAAAGTTTATGCATGCATAAGCAAAAGGGAAAACAATATCTACTTCCCATCAGCAAGCACTATTCAGCCACTTCCCAGGAAGCAGGATTTCAGCACACATTTCTGGAATGGTTGCTCCAGAAGGCAAAAATGGTTACATAACAAATGTTCCCCATTCCTCCTCTCTCCCATGGCTTTTGTATTGGAGCTGATGTCATATGGTATGGAATATCCCTTTGGTTTATTTGGGTCATCTATTTCGGCCTAGTTGTGTCACCTGTCAGGATCTTGTCCACTCCCAGTGAAGCGATACGTGGAATAAATACATAGACTCCACAACCTGGGGTAGTTATGAAGTGGATATGTATTGTCAGCACTTGACACAAGTGAGATAGCTCTCCAAGACTTGTGCACTGAGCCTCAGTCTGACCCATACCTTTATTCCCAAAGGTGTTCCATATGCAGTACATTACACAACTTTGCCATGCATATTCAACCCTGCTCCTGCCTGTCCTCGCCTCTCATGCTAAATAGGTCCACGCTCTTCTGGGCACACGTGGTTTGCCGTGGTGGTCCTGCAGGGGTCTCTGGTGGTCTCTTGAGGCTGAAGATTGTGGTCTTCCTCATGGTTGAACTTTTCTCCTTTGTGCATGCGCTTTTGGTTCTTTGGTGCTTATCCGAGTACGGTCTGTCAGTCTCGGTAGGCTTAGGGACAGAGGAGCCTCTTTATCTGGGTTCTTTGCATCTTCAGGCCTTTCTGGTATTGTTATTTATGCAAGAAGCTTCAGAAATCTGCATTTTCTTATTTTGCCCTTTTGTACCATGGCAGAGGTTTCTTAAGTAAAAGGTTAAAATTTAACATATAACACTACAAGTTAGAATGTAAATGCTTAATTCATTTTGTTAACTTAAGTGAACTCGAAAAACCTCTGTTTCACCAGTCCCTTGATAGGAAGCATGGGAGAGAACAATGATGCTCTGCAGTAGCAAAACCACTGGTGTGTTATCAGTACCTTTCTGGCTAGCAATGCAAAGCACAGCACTTTGAGGGCTGCTAAGGGAAAATGAACTCTATCTCAGCCAGACCCAACACAGTACAATACAGCAAGAGTGAAGTGTGGTGTCCTGAAAAGACTCAAATTAACATCAGCAATGGATTAGCCATGAAATCAACATGTTTAGACATGAAGGGGCTTCATAACACAAACCAGGAGCACAGATAGAATGTGACTGACTTTACTGCTCTGAAAAGCAGATTTGTTTCCAAGCCTGGGAAATGCTGACACAGTTTAATGGGAAATAAAAGAATAATTATAAAAAAGAGCCTCCTTTAAGCCTAGCACTGTATATTGCTTGGCAAAGAGGAGTTACAGTCTGAGTGAAATCTCTAATGGCACATCAGCCTAATTTACCATCCCTGTATTGATGAAATTGAAGCCAAGATAGAATATGCTTTAAAAATGACATATTCACAGCCTGACAATTCAGTTGTTTTTTTTTTCCACCCAGTACCAATATGAGCAATTAAAAGTAATTTTCTACTTGATCAATTGAGTAAATAGGAGGTTTCTTAGTGTTTGTAGCAAGGAGTTGTAAGGACCTGATAGTAAAAATAATGCCTCAAAAAGTGCTTCATCATTATCATTATCTTTTTGAACACCTGAATGCTATGAGCAGCCCACCTTAAAATCCATAAAAAGGAAGGCAAAACCTGTGCAAAACTAGGGAGGAGGAAGAGAATGACAGAAACCCTGGCTTTCACCTTCCCACCCCTCCCACCACTGCTGCTGTCCAAGATTTTTCACAGCTGGAAAAAGAACCTAAAGTTTCCAAAAATTGAGACACCTCCAAGACTTAGATGCCTCCAGCCTGGGGAAAACAGTAACCTATTGTGACACAACTCATGACTTGTGGAAACCCTCCTCTGCTCCTGCATCCTCTGGTGTGAGCAACAAGAGTGGACCAAAGTCAGCTGCAGGGACCACATTCTGAATCTACTTTTCAGAAGGTATGTGAATGCATTCCAGCTAAGCTGCTAACCCTCAAGAATAAAAAAATGATAAGCTTTTTTTTGGTCTCTGCTACTCCAGGTAGCAGAGACAAAAAAAAAAAAAAAAGGCAAAAACTGTTTTGCCTTCCACCCTCCTCAGTAGAAAGGTAACAAGTGTAGTTGGTAAACTATCTTATGCTTGTAATCTTAGCTTTTTTCCAAGTTTTCTCTAATTTCCCCTTTCTCTCCTTTCCCTCTTTTACAGTTAATAAAGTGAAAATATAAAATTTTTTTTGGCATCAACATGTAAATTCTTTCATGTTTTAATTATGTTTTGGGGCGTATTCGAACTTGAAATTGTTTCTGCAGCTCAAAGGGTTGAATGCTCCTCCATAAGTAAGTGGATTGTAACATTTAATCACAGGGCAGAAATCCCTTAAAACTCAAGTGCTGATTCCAAAAATTCAATAAACTGAAAATTTTTATGATTGATCATTTTGTGTTAGAGAAACAAAGCAAGATACCCATATGACTTTTCTCCTTTTCTTTTTCTTTTCTTTTTTTTTTTTTTTTCTTTTTTTCTGGTAAGTAAAGTGCTTTGTAAAACATTGTAGCTGTTTGCTTTTTGATGAAATTAATACAAGGTGCCCCTCAAAAGTGAGGTGTACTACTATGGTTAACTGTTTAAAATAAGGTGCTCCTGAGTCATAAGGAGTGGGACATTGGAAAATAATTTTAAAAAGGTGCCCCTCAGGAATGATCACCCCTGTGGTGTGTTTTTTATGAAATGTATACAGGGTGTCTTTCTAGGGTGAAGGATTGAAATTTGAAAATTAGCTGGAATTTATAGAAGGTAGCCTGTGGAAAGAATCACTTCACCTTCATGAGGCAACTTTGTAAAATATTTTTCCAGAGATAAAGGGTTAATTTAGAAATTACACAAGGCGCCCTCCAGAAAATCTACCACATTTTTGTGGTAACATGAAACATAATGCACAAGCTCTAGTCAATTTATTGGATGAATTTGGTGCGAAACTGTCTCCTCTAAGAATGGGCACAAAATTACAGGTGTATTATCCAAGAAATTGCTGATCTATTATCTACCCTGCATGCAGGGACAAAAGTCAAAAAAGATAAAGGAAAACCTATTGTTTGTTCTGTCATAGGTGCTGTTGTCTTAGCTGCAGTTGAACACAATGAACACCAACAAAAAGCTGATATGAAAATTATCGCATCGTTACAAGATTTGGTTAAAGTGTCATAACTTCAACTAGAAGAAGATAAGGCTAACACCTGTCTCCTCCATGAAGAGATAAAAAATCAGAAAGCTATGTGTTACCATGTGCACCCATGTGCTTTGAGAGGAGCTGCATGAGAGATTAGCAAGTGAAACAAAAAAGGGAGTTAGAGCTGGAGCTATCCAAAGAAACATATCTCCTCTTTTACTTAGAATCTTTGTGCAATGAATCAGAGAAGCTGCCAGTCTCACTTTGTCCCTTAAATAAAATAGAATACATGGGTTCGGATGATGGCACACCTTACATAACTGTGGAGGCCCATGCGCCTGTTGGGAAAAGGGCAGTGGCAATGCCCTGGAGGGATGCACCTTAGGCTCCGGACATCCCCCATAGGTTAGGGTGAAACAAAAGGCTTCCCTCATGGTGCATTGCAGCACTATGCTAATTTAACCCAGTTCTGTATTCCCCATTGGCCCGTTGATTGTCCCTACTTCTTCTACCCCAATATGGTCTTGTTCTAGAATATTCCCCACTCCCTGTTTCCCCATTGGTTAATGTAACCCTTCCTGTCTACCCTGGAACTCCCTATTGGCTCCTGCCCTTTGTACCTCACCTATGCCCTCAGCTGATTGGCCCTCATTGGCTTTGCTCCACCTCCTCTTTCATATATTTATACACCGGACCCTCCACTGTCCATTGTATTCTGTCCCTAGACCCCTTTAGTGCTGGACTGTAATAAACCCTTGCTGGAACCACATACAGAAGATCCTGCTGTGTTTCACCTGCCTGCTCGCTGTGGTGTGCTTGAGTGTTTGAGTGTGTTATTGTCATGTGCCTGCCCAGACGTTCTCCCTCCAAGGACGCTTGTGGGGAAGGTAGCAGCACTGACCACCTTGCCTTGCCACTACACATAATCATGATAGAAATCCCATATATGGCTACTGAATTGGTTAAATCAGAAAAAGAATATAGAAACACCTAAAGACTCTGAGACTGAATGTTTAGAGAGTCTCTCTTTCTTGGGGTGACCAAATTCTGCTATCACAAAAAGAGACAGAAGGGTTCTGGGGGCCAGGGAATGACCCTGATCTCTTACCAAAGAGCAGTTTTTTGGGCTGGCGGATTCAACCCCCTGGAGAGAGGAGATTCCCCTGGCTATAGTGGGAAACATTAATCAGACTCCAGAAAGCATGAAAAAGCTGTTTGTTTACAAATGATGCATGATATGGAGTTAACACCACGATATTAATCCCCTGTGATGATGACTGTGGACCCTGAAATAATGATACTTCTTATGACAGGCTGCCCTGTAGCTATAAAAGCCATAGGCATCCAGCTAAAAGGACAAATAGAAAGCCTCATGAAAGGGGAAAGACACCTTGGAGGCACCTACTACCCCCAACCATAACTGAGAAAAAAGTAAAATTTGGACCTGGAGATAAGTGGCACAAGAATAAATTAATTATGGAAGAAAATATGACCCAGTACCTTCAAGTACAACTGATTTTAAATCAATTCAGCATACAGAGTGCAAAACAACGGTGCCTCCAGTAAGATTCCAAATGGTAATGTCCTCCCCTGGGCAAAGAGGATGAGCTAACACAGGGGAAGAACACAAGGAAAAAGAAATACCGTGTGGAATATGGGCTTTTTGTAAAAGGGATCCCAAAACCCCTAATGGATGGCCAACCCACTAATAAAGTAGAGGTATTTATTTGAGAATGGCCAGAAAAGGAAGATAACATTAAAAGCTATCCCTGCTACAGCCCCTTCCCTCAAGGGATCATAGAAAGGGGATGTGACAGGAAACTGCGATCTTTGTGTCCAATAGCTAATCCAGGGGACAGAGCTTACTAAAAACTCCAGAGAGACTTATTAATCACTTGTCCTATTGGTCCCCACAAAATCCCTGTAACTTTTCTAGTCGATACTGGTGCTTAAATGTTCTCCCTTAAAATTGAAGTCACCTCTTCATGTGGAATCACTCCCTCACTAAAGGTATACTTGTTGTGGATAATTTTGGATACACACAACCCCAGACAACAGCAAAGATGCTTGTTACCAAGAAAGGAGAAAGCAGTTGAAACCTTAATGGTTTTTGGGTAAATTTCCTACAGATTTACTGGGGCTAGACCACCTAAAGGGAAGGTCCTGGACTAATGAAGAAGGAAAAATATGGGCTTTTGGGTTGGAAGCCAAACATCTCTATTTATTAAATTCTACCCCTGCTCTTCCCCCCTCCCTAGTAACCAGTGTCAAACCTTACCCCTTGCCCTTGGAAGACAGTGAAGGAATCACCCTAGTTATTGGAGATTTGAAAGTAGTATAGTAGCTGATAGCTACTATATTAGAACAGGCTCATAAAATTATAGCCCCTATTGATTTCAAGGATATGTTTTTATGGTTGCCCTGCAGAAGGAGGTTCAGGAGCATCTTGCTTTCATGTGGAAAGGCCAGCAATAAACTTTCACCCACCTCCCACAATGATTTACACACTCACCTGTTGCATATAAGTAGATATATTATAAAAGAAAGACTTTATAAAATCAGGCCTTACTCTGCTGAATTACCAGCTGGCCTCTAAGTTCCCATAAGGAAGAATTAGAGGAATGAGAAGCAGTTAGCATAACAAACTATTCTTGTTGAGAAAAACAGTTTGCACCTGCATAAACAATAAATCTATCCTATGAGAAGCAGTGAAGAAGGTTTGTAAACAATCCAAGAATACAGAGCTTTGATAGACAGGTAAAATGCCATTTACTAACTAATGAATTGAGTGGCAAGATTAACTACTAGCCAATTGAACACAAGGTCTGTGAAAACTGTATGAAAATGAGTTATGTGAATAAAGAATTGGCTTTTCCCACATTCCCTGAACATTTTACTGCAACACTCACCCTCTCTAGCATATCATGCACTGGCACAAGAATTGTCACTCCTTCCTCCTGCACTGGGAGTAAAAGTATGCCAATACATTGATGACATTTAGGTAGCAGAAAATGAAATTTCACCTGTATAATCAACAAAACCAGACATTATTAAGCATCTAGAGTCCCTGGGCTTATGTATTCCTCCTGAAAAAGTACAACCCCCTGCTTAAGAAGTAAAATTCGTGGGAATCTGGTGGAAAGGAGGAATGGTCTGTATTTCCCTAACAACCTCCATCCACTGTCATGATCCACTAAGATAAGCGGGGGTCATGATGGTTCGTTTTACTGATCCCAAAAGTGCAAAAGGCAAACATCAGGGGACTATAAGTTTAATCACAACAAATGCACCTTTTATTGAGTGCCCACAGCAAATGTGATAGAAGGATTTCAAAAGGAGATAAAGGATAGAGAGAGAGAGAAAGAGGGGAGGAGGGATATAGCTACCAGCGGAGAGATTAAATACTCATGGGACCAGCCAATAGATCTGTTGTCGTCTGTGGGAGTTCTCCAAAGTCTTGGTTTACTTAGGGATCTTTTATAGTCCTCTGCCGAGTGGGGGGGGGGGGGGGGGGGGGGGCGGGGACAGGTAATGGAGAAATAAGTCTATTGAAAAACAGGTACAGACAGTCCGTGTTCCGAAGCAGGGAAAGTCAATTTCAGCAGTGAGTGGGACCCATTATTTTCTTGGTCCAGCAAACACACCTGCAGACACCACTTGACAAACATCCTGCTTCAGTCAGGCCAGCGTCCCTGTGTTAGGATTATATGGGTCTCAGTCTCAGTTCTTGGGAGGGAGCTTCAATCTCCGTCCATCATGGTGGTTGTGAGGCAGATGGAGGATCTTCTGTAGGAGATCATCAAAGTTACCCCAGAAAGTTCATTTGGCCAAGAGGTGGGAAAATTCATGGGTTCGGGTATCGTGAAGCAGGTGTAAGTGTATAGAACAAGCCACTCCTTGCCAGGCCCTGCTCAAAGCAGGGTAGTGTTGTAACACAGCAAACACACCTGCAAACAATCACTTAGCGAGCATCCACCTCACCCAGGCCAGAACTCCCATCAAGATCTTCAGAATCTTAGTCGCTGCCATTGCAACGATTAGGAGGCAAAAATGAGGGGAACTTTGGACTGTCTCTTACACCCAAATTAAAATGCCAGAGACTAGAAAGACCTGCAGCATGCTTTAGGCCAGCTGATTTTTTGGAGGAAACACATTCCTGATTTTTCAGTAATTGCAAGGCCCCTATATGGTTTACTATGGAAAAAGGCAAAGTGGGATTGGACTCCCCTCTGTGATGAGGTCCTACAATTCCTGATTTTTGAAGCCAATACATACCAAGCACTAGGCCCTATACACCCTACTGATCCAGTACAAATTGACTGGGGATTTGCAAGCTCTGGACTGTGCATACACTTACGGCAGAAAGGACCAAATAGTCTTACTAGGCCCGTAAGATTTTATTCCTGCAGTCTGAAAGATGCAGAAAAACAGCACTCTACCTGGGAAAAGGGCTTATTTGTGGTTAATATTGCTTTTCAGGAAGTAGAGGAAACTATCCACCAACAATCATTAAATTTAAGAGGACCTTTTATAGTCATCAAGCCAGTCTTGGCAGGAACACCACCCTGACATGGACTGGCTGAACAAGCCTCTGTTCAAAAATGTTACACTCAAATTGAACATTGAACAACCACTTTAAGCCTTCAGGGGGGAATTAAGTGTTTCAATTAGGGAATAAAAGACTGATTGCAGTCACGAGATTGTTAATGGCTAATTGTTTTGAAGCACATTAGCAATTACCCTCTACCTATAAACTAAGCTACAGGTCTCTATTTACAATAAAGTTGGACTAAGGGATTTAATGGTCTTAAACTTTAACAACTTTCAACTAAGGATTACAGAAAGCCCATCACCCATCTTAAGGGGTTGTGATGAGCATTTTTGTAGTGCTAAATATTAGGTTTATGGGTTATGTGAAACAAATCCAAAGCAATATTCATGATGTTTGTAAACTCACACTATATTCACAGATAAAGCAGAATTTGCATGCATGAAGTTTAGCAAAGCTTATGTTGAATTTTTGTCTGGTTGAAATTTCATCTTACTGGTTAAGACATTGATAATTGTATAATGCTTTGACCAAAATTAATTTATACACTTAGATACTACCAGATTCTCTTCCTGTATTTTCTATGCAATTCCCAGCTTTTGAGATTACACTTTTTACATATGGCCTTACAGTATCCTTGTATGCAGAGAGACTCCCAGCAATAGCATCTACAAGCAAAAATAAAAAATGCATATTAGTGAAGCACAATAAAAATTTTGGTTCTCACTTGTATTTAGGTAAGTTCCTAAACAGACATTATTCTTTTCCTTACATTCTCCCCCAAAAAAGTAAAGTGGTGCAAAGAGAAATACCAAAGTTCTGGCGATGTAGATCTACAAATAGAAAGAATGAACACTGAAAACCATTGAAAGGGAACTTTTTATTTATCTACACGTGGTAGCTGAGAGAGTAATACCTGATTGAATCGACTGTGTTTTCCCCAAAACAAGAAGTTACACTGAAAACTTTGCATTAACATTGCAGGATCTTTTCCCAGTAAGCAAAAAAAATATGAGGACGTGGTAGAAATAACCTGTGAAAGTATTAGTCATAAGATCATACAATCAGAACAGTTTGGGTTGAAAAGGGACCTTTAAAGGCCATATAGCCCAATGCCACAATGATAAGCAGAGACATCTACAAGTAGATCAGGTTTCTCAGAGCCCTGTTCAACCTGACCTTGAATGTTTCCAGGAATGAGGATTCTACCACCTCAATGGACATAATGTTCCAGTGGTTTGCCACCATTACTGCAAAAATTTTCTTCCTTATATCAAGTCTGTAATGGGGAAGAATAATATTTTCATTTGCTGTTAGTTTTATTATTAAAAAATATTATTAAAAAAAAAAGAAAGGTTGGAATGTAAAGAAAAATTATGTCCATGGTCTGCTTATAATTTTCAATACAAAGACTTGCCAAGCAATGAATTCACATGAGAAAATTCAGTCTTCCAAAATGGTTTAACAATGTTCGATCCCACAGGAAGCAGTTGTGCTGATGATGTCTCTGACAGGTATCTTTATTTGTGAAATGGCATTGCCATATTTATTTTCTTGAAACTGAGAAAAAGGGCGGTGAGTTACAAGCAGTATCTCCCACAGAAACAAAAAAACGAAAAACCAAACAACAACAATAATATGAAAATCAGATTAACATGAGAAGAAGACTAGTCTATATTCAAGAGACTTGCACAGGATTTTGAAGCAGTTAAGTCTGAAATCCAAGATATAACAGCAACTTACACAGTCATCCTCAAACTACCTTTACTGCACTTGGCTTTGGTATGGATAAAATTAGTCATACAAAGGTCTGGCTAGACCTCACACTCTGGCTAGGCCACACACACCTCACACTGGCTAGTTCCTCACACTCACAGTGAGATTGATCCTTGTCTTGAGCATTTTTTTGCAGCTTTAAGGTAACTGACACAGAAGCTACATTTCACACCTGTGACTACAGGGTAGACATATAGTTGCAACATCTTTGTGGCAACATAGCTAGCTATTTTATGTCTCTCTAGTCTCTAGGTTCCCCATGTAGTAGAAGGACAAACATTTTAGAATTATTTTGGCATGTATATATGCCTATAAGTAGATATTACAATAGCTTCCTTCGTATATAATTTGAAAAGCAACTTGGATACATTTCCTACAAAGATTTATGCAAAATACTGTCTGCAGCTTTCTCTTCTGGGCATAGGATGCCTGTGCAGTAGGACAGAGTGTTGTCAGTTGGGTTCTTCAGCTGATGCAAAAGTGTAGTGGTGAGAAAGTTAAAGCTCTTATTTTAAACCTACACAAATGGGCCTGTTTAGTACAAATACTCCCCAGCTACATACTGAACAGAGGTTGTAAACCCAAGAAGAGAATGGAGGTTTTAAAACCTCTGAAAAACCCTGAAAAAAGTCCAGGCTGAGTTTCACCCACCAGCAAATTACATGTGGTGAGCACATTATAGCCATAATCTCAATCCTTCTAATTCTTTAATCTTTTTTCCAGCATGTGACATGTGAAAGACCACTCACTGGCACAAGAGAAAGCATATGTTCAAGTAAACATTTTAGTAGTCTGCAAACAGCTATGTATTATCCATGGATAATGTTCCTTTCTCCACACCCCTCACATGGCTGGTGAGATTTGCTCTGGAGTGAGTAATGGATAGAACAGGTTGTGCAGTATTTGGCAAAGCTGAAGTGCTGTTCCAGTGTTTTTCTTTCTAAGGTGCATAATTCACAGTATTTTTTTCTGAGTTTTATCAATTAAATAGTTACCTATAATCTGCTTCTACACTGTCTGAATGAGAAGCAGTCTGCCTACAAATTGTTTTTGCATGGTTAGAGTTGCTTATTCACTGTAATCAATTGGTCCCATGGTACCAGTCTTTTCCCTAAAGAGATTAACTTAGCTATCTCTTACAGGACAATAGACAACAAATATGAATAACACCAAAGATAAGCAACTTGCAAAGAATCAAATTCACATCCTCAGTCTTCAATCTTCAAGTTACTATGAACATTGATTTCTTGGTCCTCAAGCCAAAATAAATATATGGCCCTAATCTTTCTAAGACCTTGAGAGTGAAGGCCTTCAAATGTAACCTTTTTCTCAAAGTTAGAGAGTCATGGGTCTACTCCTTTGTCTGAGTTGGTGCTCTTGAGTCCTCCTAAAAAGGTCCTAGTGTTTCTGTGTTCACCTGGCCCTGCAAGGAAGCAGCCTTCCAGCACAACTGTTGCTCACCCACCACCCATCAGAGTAGGGAGAACAGTCATTCTGCCCCTTAATCTTTCTGGAGTCTTGACAGTTACCTATGGAACTGCACATACTCCTGAAAATCTGAAGAGTCACATGTTATTTCAGTATTTAGGCTTAGTTTCTGCATGACTGCAGTAAGAGCTGTGATTGGTATTTGTTCAAGACAGTTTTTCCTGACAGATATTTACCCAAGTATATAGGTAACGTGACCTCTTAAAAGAACTGACTTTTTCTAAACAATTATTACTAAGGGGCCTCTAAAGAAAAAGTACATAATTATGTATCTGAAATTCATACATGCTCCTAGATGAAATTTTCTAGGTGTTTAGTTGAGGTATTAGATTTTCTTCCTACTTATCATTTTGCTAGAGCAGTAGGAATTTAAATAAATTTGATGGTTTTGACCATCAAAACAAAGCACTGTATTACTTATATTTAAGAATAGTTACATTTCAGTGAATTTCACTGATGCACAAGGAAGATGCCAGAAAATTTGTTTGCATTTATTTTGCTACCTAGTAATTCAGCAATTGTCTTTGAAGTAATGTGGTTCAGATACCATCTCATAGGCCTGTGGTACACAGATGAGGAAGTGCGAAAGTGTAAACACACTGCAGAACTTAGAGATGTTTTCCAAACTGCTAAGGCTGCTAAAATGTCTGTGGACCTCTACACTAGGCTCAGACTCACTTGAAATTATTCCTAGATGTCCATGAAACCATCCTATGGCTTGGGATTGCTACAGTTTAAAAATGTTTCAGCATCCTTAATAGAATCTCTTGTGCAGCATTCTTTTTCAGTCTGTTTTCTTCATGTCCAATGCGTCCTGTTCTTACAGACAGAAGAATACAGCCAGAAGAAAGTCAGAAGGATAGAATCTCACAAATCTGCATTTCCTATTAAGCAATTCCAAGAATCCAGGATTTTTGTTTCAGGCTCAGCACAAAATTTGATGGATAAGGCTTACCAGTGGAACTAAGTAGTACTGGGCATTATATGAAAGGAATGATTTTCCCTCAGAATGCTTCAATGGCTTTTGTCAAATCTAATGACTGTTTCTGTTAAGTTTGTTCCTGGTTACCATACAATTTTTTTGGTTTTAGAATAAACTGGAGATGTTTAGGAAACAATAGATTGCATATAAAAATGGGTGTCAAAAATGCAATAAAATGTTGTCCTTACCATCTGTTTTCTTTGATTCCTGCCCCACACTACACTTCTTTTCTGTCCAGTTTGTTGTCTTCTGTTAATTCACCTAGAAAGAAGCAATGAGAAACAATAATAAACACTATAAGCAATTTAATGTATGCAGAGTGCATTTGAATGCATGCAGAGTGCATTTTAACGCTTGTAACTCAATGAAATTGCAACACCCAAAGGAGATGTTGTTCCTTTGGAGGAAAAGTCTGAGTTCAAAAAGAACTTAATGAACACATTTCCATAGAAGAAAGCACCAGAAAAAAAAATTCCAACTCCTACAGATAAGCAAGTTTTAAAATCTGGTTACGAATTTCTTCTAATTATCAAAATGTTTTAAAGTTACATGCAAACTCACAATGCCTCTGATTGTATGTTGACCATTAAAAACTTGATCATAAGATTCATGTCAGAGTCTGAAACATTAATGTTTTCCAAAGAATTAAGATCCTGCAAGGCTTCATCATAAATGTCTGTTTTAAAGAACCATCCTTGATACCCTAAGCATGCCTATGTAATTTTGCCTTGTTTTCTCTTACCAGATTCCTTTATCCACAGATTTGTTTATGATGGTATCAGGGAACAGTCATCCTAGGATTGATCATTGCCTTTAGAGTCTATGTGGCAAACAAAAAAATCAAGGCCTTTGGCAGAGCAATGGTTCATGCAGAATGAAAATAGCAACTTAAGATAGGGTATATTTTATGAACCCAGGCATGTCAACCAAGAGTGTTTTTTCAGTCCTCTATTAGCCATACAGCAAAGCACATCAGACCTTACCAGACCATCCCTTCATTGAATGAGAATGCTGAATGCTAGATCAAATAAAAACTTAAATGGAAAATTGTAGCAGAACAGATATATTTCAGCTGCAGTATCCAAACAGAAAAAAAGGTATTTTTCCTTTTGTGATGTGCACCTCAACAAAAAAAGCTGTAAAAGTCTGACTTCAGAATTTTGTAAATGTGAGGCTGTATTCCAGTGATGCTTATTCTCTTTGTATTACTATTTTTGGTACTATAACTACTTCCCAGCCTTTGGATCAAGATTAAAGGTATTAAGTGCTAAAGAGGATATGATCTGCCTTCCAAGTACTCATGGGCAGTGGATATTTATTTTTGGAACAGCTCAAAAAAGAAAAATTGTAGAGAAATGGGGTCTCCCTCTTCCACAATGTGCCTTAGTCATTAGCATATTCATTATTCTTGGACATTAGTGGATCAATCTCTTCAATTAGGTTTCATCATAATATAAAAGAGGAATGGTTTTCAAACAATTTAACAAGATGGAACCAAAAATATTCTGTTCAGTTCTTATTTGAAATTTTTCATGTTTATCTTCCTAAGCTCACTCTGTGGGTGAAAAAAAAAAAAATGAATGCAAGATGATACAGGACAAACAGCACCCTCCTCAGCAGATCACACTACCACTGACTTAGGGTCTTTGTACAGAGAGGTTATGAGCAGATCCAGCAGGGTTTAGGTGTCTGTTTGATTAAGGTGGTCTTAAAAACAAAGGGCATAATCTTCAACTGAAACAAATATGTACAGAGCAAAGCACAAAAGTATTCTTGCATTTCCTCCACCATCATACAGGTGATGGTAATGATGAGCTAACAAAGCTTTTTTGACCATTGCATAAGCAAGTTGCTTGACCCTAAGTGTGTACAGGAAAAAATGCTGAACATCTACACATGCATTGTTCCAGAGTTTGATCTCTCAGAGAAAGCACAGGGTAGTGTATGACAGAGAGACTTTAAACTCACCCGATAACACAATTTCTGAACTTTCAGTGAATATTATGAAAAGGGGACTTTTAAGTAATATAATATCTACCCTGTCATACTGCCAGCAGCAGAGCAGAATAATGATTGTAATGATATTTTTGAAAGGGATTACAGAGGCAGAGAAATAATAAGACAAATATATTAGATGAGATTTTAACATATAGGCATAAAGGAAGCTTTGGTAAATCTAGAGATATGAATGTTAAGATTTCATCAGTCCCCAGAGACTCTGCAGTGATTGTTCCTCATAAAGGCCTTATCCCATAAATAAAGGAGCAGAATTTCTTTTCCTGAGGAAGACACTAATTTTCAGGAATCATTATAATTCCTTTCAGAACACTTTTGACACCTGCAGCAGAGACAAACTGCCAATAAAAGTACTAGCAAAATCACTAGAGCACACTTAGTTCCCATATTCTTAGAAGCATGCAAAACAAGTGTATGCAGAAGAAAAGTCTGGTGCAGTCTAACTTGCATTTCATATGTCCCTGACCTTTTCGTCTTCCTGAGGGGCCCATTCATGTTCACACATGTAACACTGTCTGAAGAAAAATCCCATACATTAGAGAGAATGACAGCTTTGATTCCCACAACCCTTCCATTCTTAAAAAAAAACTAATTACTGGGAAAGGCCAGCAACCCTAAGAATGATATCAGGAATGTTTTAAACAGAATTTATGCATCTCCTGCCATGTAAACTCACTGCTTGAACCTGAACTTTCAAAGCCAAAATGCCCATTCAGTCTTTTTCTAAGAGCAGGCTTCTAAGTGGTTTTTCCACTACTTTTGGACTGCATGATATTAGCCAAGTTTGTGACAAGACACATGTGGCTGTAATGCCATTTTTTGATATTGGCTCCAGGGAGCAGGAGCTGTGCAGGAAAGGACAGTGTAATGGCCAAGAGACAAGTGATCTCTTCTGTTTGGTTTAATAAGTTTTTTTAATGTTTAATGGAATTTTCAAACATTTTTTTCCACCTTTTTTTGGGGTGCAGAATGGGATTCTTATCTTAACTCAGTCCCACAGCAAGTTAAAAAAGTGAAATAAAATTTCTGTCAAAAAATCCTCAAAAAATAAAGGCTAGTGATTGTCCTTATGAAAAAATAAACTGAACAAAGGACGGATAAATAAATTAAATCCTAAAAAAAGAGTGGAGAAAAATTCTCTGTTCCAAAACATATTTTGATCTGAGGCTCAAATCAAAGATGCATTTAATTTGCTTTAAAATGAGTTTAGAAGTCAACTTTGTCTTCTCCTGTCAGTTACTCAAGCAATGACAGTGTTCATTGAAGCAGGTTATTGGTTTCAGCTTTCCATGCTCTGTATCATAAGAGGCTATTTCAATTCCATGAAAAAATTAATTTTTCTTTTTTTCCAAGCAGGAATAGTGAACCCCTTCTACAGAAAAAACACTACTTGGAATTTAAGTCAGTTTCTCATTCCCATATGTAGGAATAACATATGTCTATGTTATGTTCAGGAAGAGACTCTGGGCCCAGGAATGCTTTTTCAGGACATGAGGCTCCCCCATCACTAAGGTGAGTTACTGGCTTTAGGGCTGGATTTATGTTTCAGTAGAAGACAATAACTCACCATTCTGGACATGCTGTTTCTCTTCTCCCAGAGTATGATGATGATCCATTTTCTTATCTGTCCTAGTTGCATTTCCCCCTTGATAGGCTTCACGTTTGCTCATACCTCTTTGCCAAGTGCCGTTTCCAGGATTCTTACTGGAATCTGTCCTTGTGCTTTCCCCAGGATTTGGTTCTTTGCTTTTTTCTGTCTTTCTTTCTGTGACATCTTCATCTGGCTTCCCATCCTGTTCATCTCTTTCCTTTTTATCTGTTCCCTGATAAGCATTTCCCTCTGCTTCTTTCTTAGCCTTTTCTTCTGCATCCTCAGCAAAGAGAGAAGCCAAGCAAGGAAAGATATCACAACTATCAGTCAATTTGACCAGAACAACTCATGTATTTAAATCTACTTCAGCTTTTCACATGCAAAAAAAATTTACTTAAATATAGGAACTGACAACGGAAAAAGAACGTGAGAGGACATTTAACAAAATATTCTGAAAACAACCAGTGGTTGTACTAATTGTATTTTATGTGTATGTCATTTTCTTACCATTTAAAGTTCACCTTGAAAAGGTAAACTGGAAATTCTTGAATGGCAAAAAGAGATACTAGCTACTGAAGGCTGTAGGGATGTCTCACAGATTTCACAAAATATTCTGGGTTGGAACGGATCTATAAAATGCAATTCTTAAGTGAATGAGCCATACAGAGGTCAAGCCCATGCTCTAAACAACTGAGCTAATTTCAGGGTCTCATAGCATACAGAATTCCTCTCATTTGGGCATCTGAAAAAAAAAAAAGCTCTATTCTGCACCTGAACCACAGGAAAGAACTTTGTCTCAGGAGAATTGGGCTTGCTACAACACCATTGGATAAGTATCTCTTGTCAAAAGTAGTGTCAGAAAATACTTTATCTAAATGGTGCTTTGTACATTAGACTGTTTTGTCAGTTCTTTTGTTTGTTGCTCTTTAATGATGACCATTTAGGCAAAAAAAAAAAAAAACAAAAAAAAACAAAAAACAGTCAGTAATGATCTCACTTTTCTCACACAGTATGAGAAATTTTTTATAAATATCATATTCAGGGTAAAAACAGCTCACTGAGGCTTCTAGGGACAATGCCATTCCCAAAGGGAATACAGTATTTTACAAATAATTTATTATAGTATTAGCAACAAAAATAGCGCTAATAGGTTCCTTCCTTTCTGATCCCAAATTTCTATTTGCTGTCAACAGACAGTAAATGTTTCTGTATTCTCTTAATAATAATTGATAATAATTGTTTTTATTGGCAATGCATCTTGACTTCAAGGCACCAATTTGTCAAGGGTCAGCAATTTAAGCCCCTGCTGTATGGTAGGCCTTGCTACAAGACAGGCAAGGATGGTGATGCAGAAACTGCTGCAAGTCAAGAGAAAATAGCAGCTGAGAAAAGATTCTGATGCAAATAGTCTGGAGTCCAAAACCAGTTCCTTAGTCCTTAGCCCATACAAAGGTATGCTGGGCTGTATGTTTGTATAACTACTTCAAGATTAAAAAAATATGCATGCTTGTACTTCTATATGTACCTAGAAACACAGAAATTATGTAAAAGTCCTGTATGGGTCTGTCTTGCACTTAAGATTTTTATGCAGTTTATGCTTAGTCAAGAAAAGATAGATGGTACATGCTGAATTACATTCTTAAAATGGGTTACCTGTATTGTAACTTTATCCACTCAACACTCCTATATCCCAAGACACTCAACATGCTTTGCTTTTTTGGTTAGCTTTAATTTGGTCCATAGGGAACTGCTAGATATTAAATAAAACAAAAAAAACCAAACCAAAACAAACAAAACCAACCAAATGAAAAACCCACAACAAAACAAAAGCAAGCAAAAAAAAAAAAAGCCCCAAAACACACACACGCACACTCACATAAAAAAACCCCAAAAAGCAAAAAAACAAAAACAAAAAAACCCAAAAAAACCCCACCACAACAAAAAGCACCAAAACCAACCAACCAAAGAAAAAAAATCCCTGGGAAATAGATTCTGAATTATGCTTTTGTTTTCATCTTCATGGAATGCCTATAAAGTGTTTTTACTTAATGGCAAGTTTTAATCACAAAGGAAAACTTTTTTTGAATAATACATTATTTCCTGGATCTTTAGTCAGGTCTTTCAGCTGGTGAGGAAACATTTGCTCTGGCACTTTGGAGAACTATGCCAAATCCCTAAAGTCACAGTCACACTTTACATTAAAATCAAACTCCTTCCACTTACATGAAATAAAACAACTCCATAAGGGATTGACCAACAACCATTCAGATCAGAGAATAAATTGTATCACAGTTTCATGGAGATAAGAAAAACATTGACATATTCCTCCTTTTTTTTCCTCCAAATCTGGTCTAAATCGCCTAAAGGTTCTAGGATACCTTTTGCAATCATCCATAGGGAAAATTATACCTAATTGAGCTGAGGGAAAATTATACCTAAATAATTCTCAAAAGATGGCTTTCAGTATTTCCAAAAGAACTCAAATAATAGAGATTTGCTAATGTCTAACTTATTAGACATTATAATAATTTCTATAATAACCTTTCTCCTCTTAATGATCCAGGATATTTGAATAAAAAATAGTTTCCTTATTTTGCAGCTGCAGTAGTCTTCAAAAAACTGTTTTCAGCTATACACTTTGTCAGCTATAAACAAATTATCATAATTTTCATTGCTGTACTCTGCATTTCCAACAACTGGCTCATATGTTTTTTTCAACTACAGTGGCCAAAACCAGGCACAGAATAACACTTAGGGCCTTGTTACTGCTGAAAAGATGAGAAGAATGCCAGAGGGGTCTTAAAAGCAAAGTCTTTTAAGGGGTTTTTTAGTGTGTATATGGGGGGAGTGTTGTTTTGCTTTGTTTTGTTTTGCTTTGCTTTGTTGGGTTTTTTCAGTGGTGGTGGGATGTTAGTTGGGATTTTTTTCAGTTTCATGACACTATTGAATCCTGGTCAACCTTCAACCAACACAGCCCTCATATTCTTCTGAAATGTTAGCAGTCCTTCCTGATGACATCACACGCATTTTCAGCTTAGTTCCTAATTAATTTTCCAAGTTATGATCAGAAATATGAAACCAGCTCTGAATAGAGAATATTCTATCCTTCTTTTCTGAACTATCTGCCAACTACCATCCATCTCCAAAAGTATCACCCCTTTCAACTGAACAATGAACAATTGATAAATCTATATTTATAAATAGCATTCCAACTATTTTTGTACCCACTGAGTCTGATCTGTGGTTTAGGGGAATCCCCTTTAAATTTCTTCTCTTCCCATCCTCCACATTCTCTTTGTTATGTACACTTACACAGCATAAGAAGAATATAAGGCTCAGATGAGTCACAATGTTCCTGTCTTTCTGAATTCAGAGTGGGTTGTTGAACTCAATAGGTGGATTCTTTCAAACTAACAGTTTGAGAATGGTTAGGCTGAAGATGAGTTTGAAGAAGAAAAGGACAACAGAATTTTAGTTTTTCACTAAAAAGCCTGGCTGTTACCTTTGGTGGCTTGTGCTTTCCATTTCTCTCTGTTTTGCTGCACCACCTCAGTCCAGGTGGCTTTAAAACTTTTGAAGTCCACAGTGAGTATGGAGCAATTGAGTGAGGCACTTCCTTCAGACCCAGTGCTCTTCACACTTGATCTTTTTACTTCAGAGGGACTAATGCTATTCAAACTAGGACACAATATCAAAAAACACAGAAGAAATCAGCATCCCACTCAAATACAGCTAAGAAAAAATAATAGTTGAATGTCAGGTAACAGAGCTTGGAAAAACTAAGCTTCAATCCCTTATCCTTCCCATCTCTCCCACCCCAGGCCAACCAATGTTACAGCAAAGAGTACAACCTGAGTCAGTATTAGAAATTATATATATATATATATATATATATGTGTGTGTGTGTGTGTGTGTGTGTGTGTGTGTGTATGTATGTATAAAATATATAGAAAGTATTAGAAATTAGAAATTGGCTGCTTTTCCCCATCTTATTTTTTGCCATTCATTCTCACTAAGTGCTTTAACTACTTTTTTGTGTATCTCCACTCCCTTAATTCTTACTGGAGAGTTAGACAATTCTAGAAATCAAAAATGTCACAGAAGAAGTCTCCTAAATTTCACCAATGGCAGGTATTAGGCACAGGTCAATCTCTGTCAAGGGCTTGGTGACTTCAGCTGAGGTTCAGGCATTGATTTCTGTTACAAATCCTACAGTTGACTTTTGATGCTTGATTGTGAACATTTTGACAAAGGTAGTAAGATTACTGACATAGAAAGATATTAGTATTTGGTTTTTGTTTGCCCAAGAGCAAAAAAGTCACCTAGAAGAGCGAATCCTGACTTGATAGCCCTACTCTAGGGAGCACTAGCCATGTGGCATTTGAATTCCAAGATATGCCTTGTCAATTAAACTAGAAAAAGAGCATTATCTCTAAAACAGCAGTACAGTTTGAATGGTCCAAGACTTCCTACACCTAAACTCCAGGTGAATTGTGGTGATTTGCACATTTGCATGATCCTAAATACTGTCATAAAAGTGTGCTTATTCTTTCCAGCCATCATTTATGTTTCAATCCCATTCATACTTCTAGGCATGGAGAAAAAAGTGACTCCCAATTATTCCCATTACATTCTCTCTGACATTAATGACTAAGAGAGCACTGAGAGTGTATCTGATTGCATGGCTACAACCATTTGCGCTCCTTGCCTTAGAAGGTATGACTCAGGCTGATGCCACCCTCCTCCCTCTTGGACCTCCTCCAGGCTGGACTTTCCTTGCACAAAGTCACCTCAAGAGGTGAGCTACAGTGTTGACAATGCAGACATGGGTCTTTCAGCCACAAGAAAGACATACACTGAAGAGAGGGGAAATCAGAGCAGTTGATTGCAATGGCAGCTTATAGGATGAAGGGACAGGGTGCAAGGTTTTTCACCTGGAACGCCTAAATCCAGACATGCCAGAAAGGGAAGCTTCATCAGTTAGTGGAGTCACAATTTTCTCTGTCATGTCAGTCAGCACGGTAAAAGTGGGTTCCACGATGAAATCAATGAAACCTGAGCAGAAACACAAGGAGAGTCAAGCAGGCACGAGGAGGATTTATGTGGAGTTCCTGCTTCAGTGAATACAGATGACCACACTGTAAATCACAGTAAAAAAATTATACATTGAAAGAAGGATAGGCAAATACTAGAAAGGGAAAACTGAGTTATACATTAATCCCTGACCCAAAATCCTCAATATAGCATGCAATAAAAGGTACCTATTTAAACATTGGAAAGAAACTCTGGCAAATCAGAACATAAACTCCTCAAGACTTATTTAATAAGAGGAGTAGTGTGATATTGAAGTCAAATTCCTAGTAGATTTCAATAAAACTTAAAAATAAAGTTCACCTTCAAACAAGATTCTCTCAAAGAAGAATACCAGTAACCTTAAACTTCCCTTACTTACGACATCAGTATGTTGCTGTGAATTCCCTCTCCTCAGTGCTTGGCCAGCTTTTTCTTGTTGATAATAAAAAAAGATCTAGATGCTTTTCCCACATTTTTTTGATATTAAAAAAAAAAGAGAAAAAATAAAGACCCAAATATTTTCTACTTCAGTATACAATTTGACAGAAATGAATATGGGTCTGCTCTGAACGTCAGGAAATGCAGACTGAAGAGCTCTGTGGACATAAGGCCATGAGATGAAGAAAAATCTAAATTGCATGAAATTTTGGTTTGAAAAGACAAGTGTCTGCGGAGGAAGGCAGGAGCCTCCCTTGAAATAAAGAATGTAAACCTTCTCCGTCTGAATTATTATAATTTTGAAATTAAGGGGCTCTTAGGCAATGATATGGGAGCAGGAATAACAGGTTTTTATTAAGGAAAAGGTAAAAGTAAAATAAAAATGCAGTAAAACAAAACAACACTGACAGAGTCAGAATATGATCTGACACCCTGTCGGTCAGGGTGGTGGTAGTAGTCTGATTAAATGGTGGTTGCAGTCCTCCTGGAGTGATAGCTGTGCTTCTGTTGAAAGCAGTAATCCTGTAGAAGGGTGTGGTTTTCCTCTGAAGATCCAGTGGTGGTGTAGATGGGCCTAATCTGCCTCTGAGAATCCAGTGGCAAAGGCTGACTGGTGTTTCAAATCTCAGATTATATCCAAGAATGCTTGGCTCCTCCCCTAGGCAGAGCATTTCACAATGGGATGATGTAATTTTATCAGTCAAGCAATAAGACTCAATGGTCCATTAACAGAAGATATTTTCCGGAGGGAGGATTGTTTTTGGAAGAGTTAAAGAAAACTGACCCACCTGGTTTTAACAGGTGGCCCAGTTAACAGAAGATAACTGCTCCACCTTCAACAGGTGGCAATAGAATACACACCCCAGCTACATCTTCCATTTTCAACCCAAGATACATGAATAAAATGTAGACATGGGTAGCTTACATATTTCCCTAATTCTTTTAGCACTTCATTTATTAAATTACTTAATGCTGCAGGTAGCCAAGAAAACAATTAAGTCCTTAATCCCTCCTTAGGCACATTGGAATTCAGGTTACAATTACTACTGTTACAAATCCCTACTATTACAAATTTTAGATATTTTAAAATTATTAACAATTTATTTTTCATTAATAATACTTTAATTTCTCTGACCTGGTCATGATATGTTTCTATGGTACTAGTGACTCTAGATGATATATGAACAACAAAAGAAGAAATGATCATGTGGTTCAGGCACCTGAATTCATGCTTCAATCCATGTTGAACCCAGGGCACAGGGAATATTTCTCTGCCTGCCCCGAGGGGTACTGACCCCCAGGGAAGCACTTTTAACCTTCACTCATGGAGAAGGCTTCCAAGACTTTGGGATGGATTGGAGTCTACAAGTGTGGAAATAGTGTGGTTTGTCACAGGGTTAGAAATTTTGGTTTTGGGATTTTAGTATGGAGGTAGATAGGAGTCAGGATGGAGGATCTTGGGCATTGTCTGAGCTTCTTCTTCTTCTTCATCTACTCCATTTTTTGCAGTGTTGGTTGCACAGGGTGACTGGCTGGGGGAAGCCGCAGTGCAGAGGTCACGTGGACAGACGAGGGATGAGTTATTGGCAGAAAGGTAGAAATAAAGTACGTTTTAAGAGTTAATTGGATAAAACAGCTTTAAAAGACCTTGAAACTGTACATCTTGTGACCATTTTTGCTGTACTTTCTTGTGTACTAAGTCCGGTGTAGAGGACATGTGGAACTTTTGATAAAATAAAAATAAACAGCAATCTGAAGACCGAAAAAGTTCCATGAGTCTCTCAATCCTGAGAACTGTTAAAAAGAGTTTTTCCCCTATCAGGGGAGCCTCAGGGGCCCTACAAAGGGCAACCACAAATCCACATCTTGAGTGCAAAGCAGTTGAGCATCCTCCTAGTTCCATTTCCCTCCCTGTATTTTTGCCAAATTTCTAAAAGGATGGATTATTAGGTGTATTTTCGTGCCAATCAAATTAAAAATGTTACTTTCAAGTTATATTCTGTACATCTGGAGACACATGCAGTTTTATCTAAACATGTGAATCATGTGTCACCATAACACTGCATTAGTCTTAGTTAGTAAAATTTAGGATAAAAAAAATTCCTAGGTAGTTTATCAGAAATACATGCAGTATAAAACTTGAACAGGAAATTGTATGCTAGAGCACAATGTAGATAGTCCCAGCAAACTTCATGTAATTTTTTTAAGCACTGAAAATTTTACCAACTGAGAACAGTGTTGTGTGCCACAGGAATCCTAAGGATAATGAGAAGTTGATTAACACATTTTTGTGTCTGGCTGTCTATATGTCTCTTCTATTCTCCTTCACTCAAAAACTTACCTCTTAATAACCAAAGAAACCCAAGTCATAGCACCTTGTCATTCTGCTCAGCAAATAATACCACTGCCATTTGCTCCTTCACCATGAACAACCCTGAGATATGCAAATCTCTGATACCAGACAGATGAATGTGTCACTAACTTCAGCAGCAAGACGGTGGGATATGTTTCGTGAGATACTGAGCAGTTACACATAAACACATTAAGCAGTTGTGTTTAAGAATCAAGTTTTCCCTGTGAGAAGTCTTGCATCTCATCAACAAAGATGAGCAGAGGTGCCAAAAGAGATCGTTTACCAGAGGTAAACAAACTCAAATACATAGGACAACTTTTCTTTGATAAGTGGCATTTTTTCTTCTATTCCCTATAACATGAATAAGTTATTCAACTATGCTACCTTAAAAAAGGGATTATAATAAAGTTGGAATCATAATCTGCTATTGTAAAAAAAAAATTAGGACTTTATTTTAAAATTGTGTAACTTTTGCCATATTCCCACATGCCTTGCCTCCCTTGTTTGCTTTTCCTCTTTACCTGAGATACTGAGATTTAAATACAGTAATTTAGTTTGCTGCTTAAAACCCTGAAATCAAATGAGCCTGAGTTTTAAAACCTATTAATAGTAATGACCAGTTTATCATTCTTTTTCTCCTTCAGTAGAATGAGCATGATAAACATTTCTGTACCCTAGAGACTAAGATGATTTTACCAGTTAATGCTGCATACTAAGAGTGAATTCCAGGCATCTGCCTGGAATTCATTCATTCATTATACTTGGGAACATCAACATAGAAGAAATTGGGTAGAGGACAGTTTCTCTAAAGTTCACCATAAAAAAAAAAAGTAGCATCATGCACTTATCAGCCATTATCCAATGTTTTCTGAAAGTGCATTTTTATTTCTTGACAGTAAAAGGACAAAAATAAAATCATACTGTTGCATTTATCAGCTGCAAAAGAGGACAATGACAATAAAGGCTGATCTTCAGTAACACAAGCTTCCTAGAGTTTGAGCCAGAGAAGTTTTAGCTCCTGATAAACTTGTTGGAAAATATGAAAGTCTTGGTCTGGTTTTCTCTGCAGTTGTTTTTTTTTTTTTTCCTCACCCACTCTGACAAGAAGCTTGACTTCCAAACAAATTTCTCCCAATTTTTGTACTTCACTATGGTACAGAAATATTTGCTATACTCATTCTATTGAATAAGAAAAAGGATGATGAATTGGTCATTGTTAACATGAATGGATTTTCAAAATAAAGTTCAATAATTTATATTCATGGGGTTTTCATTTATCGGTTTAAATGGAACAATTTTTTCATAACCTGACACAACAGGAGAGATGCGTTCTTTCCTTTGAGGAGTTCTTTTCTGTTGAATTGCTTAATTTCATAATCCATACTGCCAAAACCTGCCATCTGTGTTTGTGAGAAGCTTTAATTAATGAAAATGTGTGCCCACTGTTATTGTGTCTACAGTGACCTTACAGCAAACCAGCAACTACAAACAAATTGAGCCACCAGAACACAGTTTCTAGGCTGTGTCTTTGATAGAACCAAAAGCACAATTTTATTTCACTAAGAACAAAGGTTTTAATTTATGAGAATTGACGGCTTAGTGCTTGGTGCAGATGACAGTCATAGAATCACTAAGGTTGGAAAGGACCTTTAAGATCATCCAGTCCAAACATATAATAGCACAATTTGGAATTCAGTAAGAACTTACCTCTGCAAAGAAATGTAATTACTATTCCAGGAAACAATATTTTGAGGCTATTAATTGGGTAAATAAATAAATGAAAGGAGATTATTTGTCTGAGAATCTAGCCTACAACTTTGAAAGTCTTAGCAGATAGCCAGAAGAAGGTTGTTGCAATTTAACAAAAGGGACATAAGAAAGACACTGTCAAAATGTGCAGCAGACGGAGAAATTAATAATTTTATAATGGTAGAAGGCAAAAATAAAGAGTAGTCTGTTAATGTCAACGGATTACTAAACTGCACAAATGAAATAGTATATGACTAAATAAACCTACCTTTGCCTACTGACAAGTGCCTCTAAGGTAAATTGTATTTATGATGGTTTAATATAATAATAATTTTTCAGTAGCTTGACACAAGGATTGGAACAGAAGATTCTTTCCTCTTCTGATCTTTCTGAGCAAAGGAGCCCAAAAGGAGAGGACCAGGAAAATGGGTTCCCAAGCATACACAACCCTATGTAGAGGGACCCTGGGGAAGGCACAACTCCTCTTCCCTGTAAGGAGTGAGGAACATATCTGAAAGCTGATAAAAGAGATGTGTAAGAGATGTATGTACCTGTACCTTCCCCCACAGCAACCAGAGAGGGAGAGTTTATCTCCTCCCACAGCACAATAATAAGCCGATGTCCAGGAGTCTTCAACATGAGTTTTAGCTAAGACTGTAGCACTTCAAGTTTTTTGCTGCTTTCCTTCACCAAGCTACTGGCAGAACACACAGTTTATGATAGGTTATTGTTCCAGAGGAGTAAATGCTAGAAGCCTGGTAACCAGGACAGGCTTATATACAGCTCTTCAAACTCAGATTCTTAAGTGAATTGTCTAAATTTCCAAAGCCAGAAAAATCTGGGATGCTGTCTCTGAGATAATGGCTTACTTACCAGGAACAATGAAATAATTTTAAACAGAAACAGCTCTTATCCAAAAATATGAATCTCTAGTTTCCTAGATTCAGGGAAATCTCTGTTTCACTCTTTGAGAGAAATTTCTTGCTTTAAATTTTTGTTTGCTTTCTTTAATATGTTTTCTGTCTTTCTGTTTTTCTCAGTTCTCTCAATTTTAGCATCCATGTTATCTTTACTTTTTTATTCCATTTGGCTACTTATTCCCCAGCTGAGGCTGGAACATGTTCTTCTATCTACTTCACTTATTTTGAAAGTATAAAATCCACCCACAAATCCACCTTTTACATGTTCTCTTCATTGTGCCAAGCCCCCTGAATAGTTTTACTTCACTTAGCACCTCTTGTTCTTTCACTAAATGTAAGGCTTGTTGCCTCATGCTTCCCCTACTTTTTCACACATTAACTGAAGGATAGTTAGAGAAAGTGTTGTTGGTGAGTCTGCAAAAAGATCTCTTTTTCTGAATTTGTGGCACAGGTTTGCTAGTTGCTTGGCTTCAGTGAAAAATAATGGTTGGTTTAAAGCATCGGGGTGGGGGGGGGGAAGGGTGAAAGGAATAAAATGTTTTGTCCAGGTCATCAAAGGAACTGACATTACATTTCCATATACACTAACAACCCTCATTCACATGATATTCTCATGTATGTGCTGTCTTCACAAACCACAAAATCATGGAGTATTTGTCATAGCCAGATACTATAGTTATTTCTGCAAACACACCAGAGGTAATTTGGTTACTGTATTGGAACCCTCACCATAAATTTAATGGCTCCTCTTTCAATTGTTGATCTGGGGAAAATAATACCATTGTGCCTTATTTTCTCTCTTTAACATAATTCCAAATTATATCACTAGGATCTTAGTGCTATTGAGAAGATGTTTTTTTTCGAGATGCTAGTTCTCATGCACCAAAAAGGGACATACCTATTTGAGACTGAGCAACCATAGTAGAATTCCGATCACACAGAGGAGAGAAGGGCAGCCCTAGTTCTGCTTCTTTGTCACCCTGGAGAAAAACATTGAGAAGAAATTTTAAAAGGACAAGACACATTGCACTTTTCATATATTATGTCACAACTGTAAAAGCCTCTCATTTTACTTTCTTTAATTAAGTTTGGATTTTGTTTAGGTTGGGTTTTTTTTTAACATAAATTGTGGAGAATTTGAGTCTCGATGGAAAAGTTATAGTCCAAGGAGAAGTTAGTGAATTAAGCATCTTGAGTCCAGTGACTTTTCATTAGAACTTTCCCTGCTTGCTTGGTACTTCTGTGCACCAACTAAAAACCACTTGAGAACAAGAATGCTTCTTACTGCAGTTCTCCAGAGCAAATCTTTCATGAGCAAACATCAATGTCAGGACTGATTTTTCAGGGCTTGCAGTTCTTTGCGCATCTTTCTTTCAGATAAGACTGGCTGCATGCAGATTAGTAATTTTTTCCAAGAAGAACACTAACAGTTTTCTATGAGAAAGTAACCTGCTCAGTTGATGTTGGGACAAGCTGTGGACATTGTCTACCTGGATATCTCCAAGACTTTTTATATGGTTTCCAACAGCTTCCTCCAAAAGACACTGATACATTATAGTATAGACAAGTGGTCCATGCAGCAGGTGGGGAACTGGCTGACAGGCCCCCAGCCTGTCAGCAAGTGGTGGTAAATAGCTTCTTTTCAAACTAGCAACCTGTCACAAGAGTGATAGTCCAGCATTCAGTACTGGACCCAATGCTGTTTAATATCTTTACAAGATTATGGGATCATCTAGAAGTTTGCTGATGATACCAAACCAAGTGGGAAATTGAACACTTCTAAAGGGAGAGTCATCCTGCAGGTAGACCTGGAGAGGCTGGAAGAGTGGGCTTACAAGAACCTTATGAAGTTCAACAAGGACAAATGTAAGGTCATACACCTGAAAAAACATAATACAGGACCACAACACAAGCTGGGAACAACTCAGCTGGGGAACAGCTCTGTGGAAAAGGACCTGAGGTTCCTGTTGGATGACAAGCTAATATGAGTGAATTCTGTGGTGCTCTGCTGAAGAAAAAACCAGAATGATGGGCTGCATAAACAAGGGCGTCACCAGCAGAGATACTGAAATCATTATTCCACTCTACTCAGCACCTGGCAGGCCACAGCTGGAATAAGGTGCTCAGTATTGGTCTCCCCATGCAAAAAAAGAAGTGGATAGGCTGGAGAGGGTCAAGAGAAAGGCTACAGGGATGATGAAGTAACTGAGAAGCCTGTCATGTAAGAAAGGGCTGAGACAACTGCATTCTTAAACCTTGAGAAAAGAAAACTTAAAAGAGACCTTATTACCATGTTCCAATATTTAAAGGGTGTCTACAGAGAAGATGGAGACCCCCATTTTACAAGGAGGCACATGGAAAGATATGGGATAATGGATACAATTACTCCTGAAGAGATTCTGATTAGACGCAGGACAAAAATTTTTCACAATGAGATCAGCCATTAAAATGATCTCCCCAGGGGAGTGGTGGATTCTCCAGCATTGGACACTTTTAACATTCAGCTGGATCATCTTATCTAGACTGTGCAAGAAAGGTTTGATCACATGATCCTTCAGCTTCCTTCAAACCTGGTATTCTGTGATGCTGTGAATACAACATTTCACATTACCTTTAGATTACATTTACATCTTAATTACGTAAGTCCAAACATGCCTACCAGCCCTCAGAAGTGGAAGTCCTTTTCTAGAATTACAAGATGGTAGAAGATCAAGTGTTTATAACCCCATATTCCCCAATTTTCCAGTTTTTCAAGTCATATGATACAAAAAGCCCTTTAATTCAGTCACTCTATAACATTGCTTTATGTTGAGAAGATATGTATAGGATGACACAGATGCAGTACTCCCCAAAGAGCATTCAAATTTAAATAGCCTGTTAAACGTACTGTAAAATAATTTACTTAAATTAGCAGGTCATTATAATTGTGCTGAACTTCTTGCCAGTGTTCAGAACAATGTCAAATAGAAGCTAAAATATTCAGTACCATCAGTAAAGAGTGCATATCACTTTTCATTTTCTGATAGCTGATTATATATGGTGGGAGCTCCGCAGCACATGTCATCTTTTCCTCCTCCAATGATGACGATAATCTAAAATTTTTGCCTTGAGGCCAATTCATGATTTGTGATTTTGCCTCAGGCCAATATCCCTGGGCAATTAGGGGTTTCTATTTGAGCTTTTTGAGTGATCAGCACAGATCACTTAGCATGCATCTGAGTGTGTGAAAAGGACTTTGCTTTTAAACATCCAGCCCAAAACAGACTATCAGGGTGCCATGAAGAGCTGTACTTCAGTGACAGTCACTTCTGAAGCAGCTAGAATTCCTTCTTCATAAACTGCCAGTACCCCTTGTTCAGTTGAGGTGTAACAGGCCTGATATACTTTGAATTCCAGACTCCAGAACCACAGGGGTTACCTTCAGGTCTCCCAGGGTACCTTTTGCCAGAGACTCCAGGAAGGATCATGCTTGTTACTGTTCAGGACCCCACTTAAAATGTTTCTTCTTCTGGGTCATTTGGTAGAGAAGGTTTACAATCTGACTGTAATTTGGAATATGCATCCTTCCAAAACTCGCAGTACTGAAGAAAGCTTGTCTCTCCTTCGTGCTGGTTGGTGGGGACATAGCTGCTATGTTTTTGAGCATAGCCACTGGCATCTGATGATATCCATCTTGCTATTTTACTCTTAAAACCTGATATTCCTGGGCAGGTCCCTTGACTTTGCTTTATGGCAAAAGCATAACCTTGACCTTCAGGAGGATGTGGATTATATTGTTTTTTCAAAAAAAACTCTCTCCGTTGTGTTGTGCCACACAATAATGTCATCAACATGTTGCAAGTGTTCTGGAGCACCCCCTCTTCAATTTTAGTCTAAATCAGTCCATGGCAAATAGTGGGGCTGTGCTTCCACTCCTGGGGCTATCACTTTCAAGTGTAGGGGACCCTCTTCTAGGTAAAAGCAAACTATTGAAACGAAAGATTTTCCAGGGATCACTTGAACTAACAAAATGAATGTATCAAAAATGAATGTATCAAAAATGAATGTATCAAAAATGAATATATCAAAAATGAATGTATCATGTTTGTAGAATCATGTGTTGAATTTTAAGAAACCTCTGCACAAAAAGGCATAGGAAAGAAAAACAAAGATCTTTAAAGCTTCTTGCAAAAAGACAAATACCGGAAAGGACCAGGAATGCCAAGACTTCAGACAAGGAAGCCCTCTGTCTCCAAACATGTCAAGGATGATGAACTTATCCAGATAGGAGAGCAAAGGACCAAAAGCGCAAGCGCAAAGGAGAAGAGTTCAAAAGTTCAATGCGGAGGAAGATGATGGTTTATAGTTCAAAGACCACCAGGGACCCTCATAAAAGCCCCCACAAAAAACTACGCATGCCCAGAAGGGCGTGGACCTATTTAGCATGAGAAGCGAAGACAGGCGGGGCCAGGGGTTGAATATGCATAGAAAAGTTGTGTAATGTATTGCATATGGAACACCTTTGTGAATAAAGTTGGGGGGCAAACTTCAGCTCGGGGCACAAGATTTCAGAGAGTTATCTCACTTGTGCTGGGCACTGCCATACATACCCACTTCATAACTACATCGAGTTGTGGAGTCTATTTATTTATTCCGCATATCGCTTCACTATGACCTGCATTCTCTTGACAAAGAAATTGAGAAAAACACATTAGCAATGTACGTGGTGGCACCATTTTGCTGCCTTGGACTCCAGATCATCCTTAAGTTCCATCATATCCATCACAGCAGCTCTCAGTGGTGGTGTGACTTTGTTCAGGATACAATAGTCCACTGTCACCCTCCACTGGACTCATGCACTGGCCATATGGGGCTATTAAAGGGTGAGTGAAACTTGCTGACTACTCCCTGGCTCTCCAGTTCATTAATCATCTCTGGCTGATGCAGTATTGTTGATGATGATCTGTTGTGGCAGTGAATGGTACTTGTTGTTCTTTGACCCTGGTGTCCCATAGCAGAAGAGTTTTGTGGTCTCACATCTTAATGTGAGGTAATCGTAATTCCCTCGTAAGTCTTTGGCAGTCATGTATTTTAACACATCTAGTATAACTTTGAGCTAGAAAAGAAAAGCATAAATATGCACAGATTTTTCCCTAAAATTCATGTTAAAATCATCCTACTTGTATAGGTCTCCAGTGTGGCAAGACAGAATCAATTGCAGGTATGAGCTATCTGCTTTCACCCAGTAAAACAATTCTTGGTTTGAAAAACAAACCAAAGGATTAATTCCAGAGCAAATTTTTGCAATATCCTTGTAAAAAAAAAGGGATTACTGCAATGCCTTTAAAAACAGATACAATTTTTAAAAAATGTCAGAACTTTTAAAGAATTATCATATTTTTCCCTTTTGCATTTAGATTTACTATAGAACAGGAAGTAATTTGACTTTGCAGGGAAAATAAGCACTTAAGTGCTAGCACTGCTTAGGTTAGCAATTCATACTGGAGAAAAGTATCCTATACACTCCTTAAGTGCTCTGTTTGCTTTTACTTCATTAAAAAAAAATTTTATTAATCACTTGAGAACTTTATAACCATCACACAGAGCTCAATGATTTGTCTAGATTTGTGGGTCTGTCAACAGGTGATCCACTATGAACTATAATTTTGATCAGTTCATTTCTTTTAAAGGGCAAAGTAAGCCTTTTTCAAATCCATTGCAACAATGTAAGTAGAGTTTTATAAAGTACAGCTACACAAGCATGGTGTTATGGTTCTAGAGCTAAGTAGTAATATTTTCCTAATTTGAAAGACTTTTTAACTTCTCAAATTAGAATTTCTACTATGTAGGTAATGTTTAAGTCTATAGGGAACGTATTAGACATTAGCTTCCTATGCCTAAGAGGCATAATAGCCAGTGCTAATGGTGCTAGAGGAGAAAGCTGCATACCATTTGGGAGGTTCTTAAAAACATCAGAGAAAAAGCAACATATCTGTGTTAATATTTTCCTACTTCCTTACCCAACCCTACACACTCCCTCTCAACTGCAGAAAAGAAAAGAACTTCCCTAGCTTTACCTGCCTGAAGAACTCCTCTAGCAGAGACATGGTCCAGCGATGATGGAGATCCCAGGCCTTGGCTGGATGACTGATATCTGCTGTATGTAATAACAGTGATAAGGCTTTCGACTTGTCAATTCTGAAAACCCAAAGGATCAAAAAAATTAATAGTCTGCTCTTGCAGGGAAGAATGACAAAAATCTTACCTACAGGAAAATACGGTAATTAGAATCTTTGAGCAGGATATATGCAAAGTGGTTTCTCTGATCATAAAATCAGACAACTCTGAAAGACTGTTATTTCTCCACCACACATGAGTCCTGTTTTAAAAGGGATACTAAGAAATGCAAAAAGAAATATTGCTCAGCCTTGCTCAGAAACTTTCCAGGTTTCCATGTCTGCACTAGCAGTCTTGAAGAGCTGCTGTGCTCCCCATTTCATTGGTGCTGTACGACCTAAGATTTCTTACGACCTAAGAGGCTAGCCGAAGAACCCCATAAATAATGCTTTCTTGGTATGGGTGTTCTCATTTTTTAATTCTGCTTTTTGCTATCCAAAATGATTGAAGGAGTTGTAGCTTCTGATGGGATCAGGTGGCTAGCCACACCCTGCTCTGATACAGGTATAATACTGATATAGGTATAATTCTGATATAGGTATAATTCTGTGTCCAGGGTAAAAAACTGACCATCACTCAGAGCAATAGAGAAAGAATTTTTTGGGGAAGAGCTGTGGACAAAATACTACAGCTCCCAGTGGCATACTGGGAAGAAGAAAAGGCTTTCCCCATACTGCTCCATCTGTTATTTTCCAGTCCTTCCCTCAGTGGATCTAAGTTTTCATCTGTTCTCCGATTATGCAGAAGGCCCCTACTGGGGGTGACAGCTGATACCATCTGCATAAGGGCAAAGTGCAAGTTATGTTCTGCAGGTCTTATAACCTTAAGTCATACTCAGTTATAGAGGTTACTCTGATGAATCATGTCCTTGATGTTATCCACCAGGGAAATGCCCAATGAGGCTGGTCCCAGCAATGGTGACATTTGAAATCTTTGGGCCACAAGCACAGAATATAGATGTGCATTTAGGCATGTGCCCATCCCTTCATAAGTGAATTAATTCAAAATTCACCAGCAGAAAGAAAATTGCTATAGATATCAAAGAAAGAGAGGGCCTCTGGAGAGGTGCTTTTGAAGTTAAGCACATTGGCAAAGCACCAGCTGAAATGCAGCCCCTCACTGCACTATGTTGTGAAATTACTTACCCTTCTGGTTGCTGCAAAGCATTCTTCATAGCTTTAATTTGCTGGAAGTGACAGGACATATCGGTAGCCAACACCATCTCAATGACTAGAGCTCTAAATTCCCTTTTGGATAGCATCACAATAAGAGCAGCAAGGAAAGAGAAGCACAAAAACCAGCATCAGACACACTCCAGTCTCTTGTTATCTGCAAATTATTGACAGCAATACTTTTGTATGTAACTCTTCATTCCTCTTTCAGGGCTAGGATGAAGGATTTTCTGCACAAACACAGAAATGGGAGGGATGCAAATGAAGCCAGGTGGCTAATCCTTGGTAAGAGAAATATTAGATGTTTTCTGAAGAGCACATTGGTATTAGTTGTTGGGGAAGATGAATAAATATGATTGCCTGGCAAAAGATTTACAATAGTACAGCCAGGATGAAAACAATCCTCCCTACTGGTTGGACAATGCCCTTACCTGCAGATAGGTCCAAAAGTCAAATGGACTGTTCCATCTCACCCACCAGAATGTATGGTTCATCCCACACCTGTAACCCTCCCCTGAAACATCAAGTGTCTGTGACCCCATTGGCCTAAGTCTTGTTCCAGCCCACCTTGAAGCCCCCTGATAAGGGGCCTCCGAGGGGCCAGACGCCCTCTTGGGACTTCCACCGTCTCCTGGAGCATCCTCTTATCTCCCTCTACCCCTTGCCTCTCCCTTCCCCCACTTCTTCAGACCTGCCACGTGCAGTGTCTGGGTGGCTCCACACAGGGCCTTTCACCCTCTATAATAAACCTTGTATTCTAACAGCAGCCTTCAGAGATCTCTTGTCTCCATCCATCCAAACCGTCCTGGCAATTAGTACTCCTTTTTCAATTAAGCACAAACTTCTTAAATAGTTTTCTTTTCTATGGCATTCTTAGAAAGAAGGGAAAAGACTGCTTAAAGCCTCAGAATCAGGTAACTTGATTCAACTGGACAATATGCATGTTTAAAGTTGAGTCATATGGTGGAAAGTCACCACATTAAAAAAATTGCCTAGTATATATGATGCATATATGAAATAAAGACCTTTGAGAAACTGCACTATTGCCCTGCTATTATTAATTCAAAATATTCCTGTATGAGATTTTGTAAAGCAAACTTGCTGTCCTGGGGGTTTTTTCTGGACTAGAATTAGTTTTCTTCTTAGCTGGTACAATGCTGTGTTTTGGCTTTAATATGAGAATAATGTTGGTAACACACTGATGATTTTGTTGTTGATAAGTAGTATTTACTCCAAAACACAGACTTTAGAGTTTCCCGTACTCTGACAGTGAGCAGGTGCACAAGAAGTTGGGAGGGAGCATAGCCAGGACAGTTGATCCAAACTGGCCAAAGGCATACTTTATATCACAGAATATCAAGCCCAATATATAAACTGAAGTCAGTGATCACTACTTGTGACAGACCAGGCATCAGTCAGCAGGAGGTGAGCAATCACTTGTTTCTCTTGGATGTTATTGCTCCCTCTCTCATATTTTCATTACTCTTATCATAATTATCATCATCATCACAATCATTAGTATAAGTATCACAACAGTAGTTTAGACTCCAGTTGAAATTTCTCTGAAGATGATATGGATGCTCCTAAACAGTTTAAAATATCACAATGTTCTGATCTAGCATAGAATACAAATTTATTTTTCTTTCAGTTCAGTCTCTACAGATTAACAGAGGAAGAACAGCTCAAGTTTAGCATACCAGCTCAGGATTTTGAAGATTCAGAAATGGGTCAGCATTTATTTAAAAATAAATCACTATTCTCCTTTTTATGAATGTCTCATGAAGTCTATTTTGATGATTCCTCTCTTGCCTATAGTAGCTGTGCTCAAATTCCAGCCCCAGGCCACCACTGTTTACAGACCCAAGACTGCTGTGCTTACCTAGTCCCATGGGTGGCACAATGGATGCTTCACCACCAGAGTTCTGCAACAATCAGTTTGCCTTGGTCTTCACCCCCTATAACCACCTCTTCCTCCCAACCCATGAGTACCATCACTTGCATAGTTAACAGCATCTAATTTTTTTATTTAATTTTTTTTTATTTGCCAGTACTGGTCAATTCCCAACAGCACAAATGTCTCTGTCAATACAACCAAAAGAGAAGAACCTGAATGCATAGAAATATACTTTTACAAGAATATAGTGTGATAATGCTGTGGGAACAATTAATGCTGGGAAACAGAAGACTTTTCACTACATCCTCTGGGCTACAACTCCATCATACTGCTCTACATGGGCTACTTTGTGTGTAGCTTATTGCAGTAGGAATATAAAAGCAAAGGGCTTCGTTCAGGCAAATGACTCACTGATTGCAGTGCAAGAATGTACACATGATTACAAGCCCAAAGATACTACATTCCCTTTAATAAATGTAAATCTGGAACATGCACATCATTTAACTTCGGCACATATTTCAGATCATCATTTTCTCTGAAACAGAGATGAAAAATATTCCTGAAATGGTAAAAAAAAAAAAAAAAAAAAAAAAAAAAAAAAAAAAAAAAGGGTTTCACAATTGAAAAGTTATTATTTGTCACTTCAAACCACAGGCATCACAACATTATGTGACTTTGAAAATCAATAAGTAAAAGTTATAGGTAATGCATGAGAGATCTCAAAAGATGTAATACTTGAGGATCATAAGTTTGTGCATTTGGTAACAAGTTGATAGAATGCTGAAATTCATTACAGAGAGAGAATCAAAGATAGATTTTTATGCATTGCTTGGTTTTGCATCTGAGTCAGAAGAGAGCCTGGGATACACGCAACTGTTATTTTTGCCCTTACCATCTTGAGCATTTTGTTTCTGCAATTGTCACCTTGTTCTTTTAAAAATTTTAAAGTTCTTCTGAAAGTTTTCTATGCCTTCTGATGTTTACATATTTCTGCTGAATTTTCTCACATTGTTAATGTAAATAATACATTCTGCATTCTTCTCTGTGGGTGGAGAGAATTGATGGATTGTTGGTTTGACCAGTGTGGAGAGGTGGTAATTTCACCCTCTAATCCACTGTCACTTTTGCTATTCTATATATAGTGGAGTCAGAAAATAAAATCCTCTCCTTTGGTTCGTTTTCTTCCCTGTTTTACATAACATGTGTCTGTGAGTTATTTCGTGTCGTAGTGTGACATCTGGTGGCCGCCGTCTGGTACGACAGCCGTGAGTGAGGTCTTTTAATTCTTGATTCTCTTTTTAACTTTTCTGTTTGTCTGCAGGCTTGTGGTCACGCCAGCCCCTGTGATTTCTATAGAGGACTTACTGGTCTTGAATGTCTGGGAAGCTCTTCTGGAGCAAAAGAGGGCTTCTCTTCTTTGGGATGGCTTTAAGCAACTGTTTTACTGGGGCAAAGGTCATGGGCTCTTTTCAGCCCCTGAGGAGGAGTTCTCCAGGGATGCGTGGGGTCTCTTTCTCTGTTGATTATAGTGCAGGTGTGGTGGCAATGCTCTTGAACTGCAGACAGATTGATAAGCTAGGGTAGGATTTCAGCCCCCCAACCTCCGAACAGGGTGACGCTGAAGTCTTTGCGAAGGCAGAGGTGAATGTTGAGTCTTCGCGCGGATCGGAATCAGCCCCATCCCTTTCCGCACCCGGGGGCGGCGAAGCGGGGTGCGAACGCCTCCTCTCTGTGCTTTTCCGGCGCTCGGGGGCTGCGAGGAGCCCCTGGCTCAGCGTCCGCCTCTGCTTTGTCCAAACTGTGGGGTTTCCACAACGCATCCCTTGGGGGCAGCGGGAGTGGGGTCAGCTGCCGCCCCCACCACTCTCCCGTTCGGGGTCGGCGTCATTAATCGATTCTGCGTCTTCACAGCCTGCCGGGCATCCACAGCCGGAGGAAGCCGGCGGAGCTTTCTGTTGGAGCCCACTCTGGCGGGCAGGTGGCCCGACCCGCTCCAGCCCCATGAGGTGGTGTCCGCGGTCAGATTCTGCCTCACGGGAGGGACTCTTGTGTGCGGTGCCTGACGGCCCCATCCCCGCGCAGCCTGTGACGGGTCCCGTGGCCGGGGCACGGAGCGATGGCGCGGCTCCGCGAGTCGCTTCTCTGCGCACTGCTCTTCCCCGTGCCAGGGGAAGCTGCCCCCGGGGGGGCTCCGGCGGGAGCTGGCGTGTCGCCGCCGCCTGTCCCTCCTGCGGGTACTGGGGCTGCAGCGAGTGCGGGCACTGCGGTGTTTGCCACGAAAGGTGACGTGACCCATGTTTCCCCGGAGCCGTGGGTCTTCTTCTTCGGCCTTGTAAACACTTCCGCCGTGTCAGGCGACTGTAGGTCCGAGGAAGCACAAGCGGTTTTGTCGAGAGGTCAAAGCTAAGGTCAAGAATGTGCTTGATTATGCTTCTCTGTGTTGCCTCGCATGGTGCGCAGGTGGCTGCTCTGGCCCTGCTGATGCTGCAAGGGACGAGATATCGGGTGCTGTTGAGCTGACTCCCACTCAGGCATCTGCTTCTGTCCTATGGAGTCCACAGGACGGGACTTAGCAGGTGCTGCCGCCTTACCAGGGGGTCTCCAGGCTTTCCCTGTGTTCAGAGGTATTGCTAACAATGCCCATCAGCCATTACCATTGAAAGCTTTGATGGAACTCCATGATAAGGCTGGAAAATATGGTTCGGGCTCTGTGGAAGTCATGCAGATGCTTAGAGTGTTTGCTGCTGATTTGCTGACACCTTACGATATTCAAAGCTTAGCTCATGTTGTTTTTCAGCCTGTAGAATATGACCTTTTTGAGTCTAAATGGACTCAGCTGGCAGCTAGAACAGTGGAGATTGGGCCAATGGAATCCCAGACGTGATTGGTACTGATGTGCTGCTAGGCACAGGCAATTACGCTGATCCTCATGAGCAGGCTGGCTTTGCTCCCTTGGTGCTGGATCAGTGCCAGACAACAGCCATGGCAGCGTTGATTCAGACCATAGAAGTGGCTGCTCCAAAGGAGTAATTTGTGACTGTTGCCCGGAGAGCTGATGAGTCTTTCCTACTATTTATAGACAGGCTGTCTGCCTCTGTGGAGAAGCAGGTGGGAGATCCTGAGGCAAGGAAGCTTTTGCTTAAGCACCTTGTGAAAAGTAACTGCACTGCCAATTTTCGGA